GGATAAAGCACCTTTCATGTCAGGAGAATATTTCAAAGAGCTTCATAGAGTTTACAGTGACTGTGTACTTTTGGGCAAATTGAAGTGCATTCTGAGATGGATCTTGTTCCAACAGTTTCAAAATATTGTGGGGCTGTGGATTATTGAAAACGTGGAAGGAGATAGCAGCCTACCAGGTCATCAAAGAGGAGTACAAGAAGTTGGGCAAGATGTCCTTTGCTGAAATCCTTGTTCTCATCCTCTTCATCTTCCTGGTGCTTCTGTGGTTCACTCGGAATCCTGGATTCATGCCTGGCTGGGCTACAGTGATCTTCGGCAAAAGCAAAAAGTAAGTTCTGTATTTTAATCTTCAAACAAATGAGGCAAACGTGGTGTTGGGTTGCATTAGCAGAGAGATTAGCACACCCAACAAAATAAGTGGGGGGTTTTTAATTGAGAAAAACAACAACAAATTACATTTATGTAGCACCTTTCACGTCGGGAGGACAATGCAAGGCTGTGGACAGTCAGGGATTTGGAGAAGCCTGTATGGATGGTCATGAACATGGCCTGCATGAACAGCGGCTCTCCTCCTGCACCACTACTGAATGCCGAAAAGACAGAGGCTCTCCTGCTTGGCTCCCATCATTTGCCTACACCCCTCAGACGCTGGTCACACCAAACTGCATGGATGGTCAATCCATCTGGCGCAGATACTGTGGAATCCCGGTGCTTGTTTGAGGTACTCCCTGCACTCAGCACTAGCGTGCTTCATGTCCCCTCTGATCCGCTTCACCATTGCTGGGCCAACTTTCAGGCATTCTGCTGGGTGAAGCGCTTTTTGAGATGTCCTCCTGACGTGAAAGGCGCCATATAAATGCAAATTGTTCTTCACAGTCCATTCTTCACTGCTTTTTTTCAGATATATTTCTGATGGTACAACCGTAATGTTCATTGCGCTCCTCATGTACATTCTGCCATCAAAGAGACCACGATTGGAAAGCTTGTTTAAAGACAAATCCAGCACTGAGCAGCACATACAAGGTGTGTATCCAGGTTACGATCCTCCTCCCAGCAGTTGACACACACAGTACCTGTAACCAGTCTGTAAGGTTGCCCTGTTTGATGTGATAAGGCACAATACACTGCTGTGTGTAATTGGCTGCCGCATTTCACCCACAAAATACACAGTCAATCCACTTTTCCAGATATCCTGTGAAGCACTTTGAGATGTCTCAACGTGATAAGGCGCTATATCAAATGCAAGGATTATTATTATTATTAATAATAGAAATGTAAGTTAGGTCTTTCTCCCTCATCAGCAGTGGAAGGCTAACCAGAAGTTATTAAAATGTCAACGTGTGATTTTCAAAGCTGGTTTATTGTTGTATTTCTTTATTAAATGCTGAACAGATGAAAAGCCTTCAACACTGTTGGATTGGGAAGTCGTGCAACGTAAACTACCGTGGAATGTGGTGCTGTTATTGGGAGGAGGCTTTGCCTTGGCAAAGAGCTGTGAGGTAATTGTAAATGCTTATCCGTCCACCTCCACAAGCAGAAATGGCTGCATGACACTTGCTCAGCGACACTTTGTGTGTAGTAACCCAAACAGTCCTGTCTAAAAGAGAACCCTCTACATCAAGATCTGAAAAAAGAACTTGTTCGGGTGAACTCATTGATTGTATTTGAATCCAGTCTGGACTTCCAAAGAGCCATTTTACAGGAGCTCAACCCTTTCTAATCCCAAAGCCAAATCTGTTCAACTTTCGGTCCCGATCTCCTCATTCAGTGAAAACCTTGTCTCACACAAATCAAACTCTCACCCATGGTGGTGGTTTTCCCATCTTCATAGATGATGACTGACTGATGTCAAGCAGTTGGGTTGGATTGGTCATTCTTCTTGTTGCATCCGGAGACAGGAGCCAGACAGATTTCCCACAGAATTAGAAGCTCTGACCCTGGTATTGTGACATGATTCTGTTCTACTTTCAGGCATCAGGTCTGTCCAGATGGTTGGGTAACCAGCTCAACCCACTGAAGACCATCCCACACTGGGGCATCGTGATTATATTATGCTTACTGATATCCATCTTTACAGAGTGCACCAGCAACATTGCCACTGCCACTCTCTTCCTCCCCATCCTGGCTTCACTGGTAAGCAGGGCCTCTTTTCATTTGTTTCACAAGTTGTCTCTTGCTCAAGTCTACATCATATAAGATGCATGGTAAGACGGAAACCATTCAGGGTTCAATGTGAGTTTTCCCAGTTCAATTTGTCTTCAATATAAGCGTTTAGGTGGGCTTTAAAGCGATCACCTCTCCCTCATTCAGTGTCCGACCTGCCACAGTACAGCACCTCAAGACGTGAGGAGCATTGTATAAATGTAAGTCATTGTCTCAAAGTAAAAGATATCTGTTGCTAACTAATTTCTTTTCTGCTTATCATTCCAGGCTGTAAAGCTTAAGATCAACCCTCTGTATGTAATGATTCCTTCCACTATAACGACTTCCTTTTCCTTCATGTTGCCTGTAGCAACTCCTCCCAATGCCATAGTTTTCTCCTATGGGCACTTGACAGTCATGGACATGGTAAGTAGTACAAAGAGTTGCAAGTGAGAGGATCCGAGTTCGATTCCCGGGCAGGGTGAAACGTTAGGCAAGTTTCCTTACTCCACATGTCTCTGCTTCCCTGGCAGTAAATAACAACTTGTTTGTTAGTTGATTGGCAGATCGCTTTCCGGGGGTAATAATCCGTTTTTTAAAAATAATGATGTTGTCACTCAATCCACGATCGTTTGTGGACACTGCTGTGCGCAATTGGCTGCTGCGTTTCGCCCACAAAATACACAGTCAATTCACTTTACAATATATTCTGTAAAGTAGTTTGACATGTGTTGAAGTTGTGATAAGGCGCAATATCAAATGCAAGGATTATTATTCATTGTTATTAAATGAGTTAATTCAGTATGATTCCTTAAAAGGACCACTTTTATTCTATGTTTGTGGTATGCCACTCCTTTGGAACTTTGACTTCGCCTTTTAATTTGAAAAATCTAATACTATCTTTTTCTTTTATAGGTTAAGGCTGGGTTCGTTATGAACCTGGTGGGAGTGGTTTGCGTTACTGTATCCGTCAATACCTGGGGTTGGATGTTTTTCAATATGGACCAATTTCCTGCCTGGGCAAACACTACAAATTTATGATGTGGCAAGCTGCTCAGAAAGTCACGTCCATACCTCGTATCAAACATTATTTGAGGTTACTTACACGCTAAGAACACTGAAGCCTGCCAATCAGAATATACCATATGTTCAATGAACTCCAGAAAACAAAAAAACTCCACCAAACCAAGCTGTGAAACCCCTTCCCTCCTTCTACATTAGGGTCAATTATAGTACCTTACAACCTCTTCTATGTTATTCTTAATGGTGATATCCTGCAGTCAGGCAATGTTGGCAGCAGTTATTGGAGTCCTGGTCCTTTCCCATTTATTGCTTATTTATTCTCATTAAAAGTGATTGTGGAATGGTGTTTAATGGCAGTTCCTCAGTTATGATTATTAAATGTATGTCTGTCCAACTACTGGGATTTTAATGATTTTTAATATATTGATAAGTTGACTCCACTCCCTACTCGAGTCTCCCCAATCCGAGTTCCGACCTGCCCACAGCACCAAGCCAGTGCGTGTCAAAGTTACAAATGACGTCCTCTCTCTGTGTGCCTCCCTCTGCCTCCTTGTCCTGCTGAACCTTTTCGCTGCTTTCAACAGTGTTGATCACGCCATCCTCCTCGACTGCCTCGCCTTCATCCACTTCAGTAGGATCGCACTGTCCTGGTTCGAGTTCTATGTGAGCTACCGCCATCACTATGCCTCTGCAAAGATTCTGGAAGGGTTAGTGGCCGGTATTCATTGTCAACCCACTGACAGACACGATGTGCAATGAAGCAACAATAGGGACAATTGCAGTAATAAACTGAAAGAATTGTATTTATTTTGACTTTGAGTACACAGCAGGTTAAGCCTGACATTGATTGTATAATTAGAATGTACAGTATACTGTACTAAACACACGTAGTGAACATACACCTGGCAGTGATGCTTTCCGAAGCAAACGGATTGAGGCAGGAACACAAAAGAAGGAAAAACTCACTCCAGAGAGGTGAATACACCGAGGGTCTAGGGTGGGTGGAAAGAAAAGAAGAATTGTTCTGGTTTCTATACAATTGATGATGCTACATTTCAGTTAACTTCGCACGATTCCTTGATTCACAAGGCATCGAATTGTACCTGCCATCTTTCAGGGGGAAAAAAATCCTCACCCATCAAAACCGAAGAGCAGATTTGGGTCATAACCATCCAGTTGATGTTCAAATACAAACTGCTACAGACTGCATTCAAACAAGCTGTAGAGTCATCTGTAAATCACACCACTGATATTCTCAAATCAAATGCCTCCTATCGTAGAACCAAGTATAAGAATTAATCTAATTTTCCAGCAAGCATAATTCAGCAAAGTTGAGAGAAAGGCAGATATTTACGATATCCTGCTCAGGTGCAGAATTCCAATTTACCATTCCCATTGATCCTCCATTACCAGGAATCCCATGGGATTGAACACACAAAGACAATCACAGTAGTAATCCTTGCATTTGATATATATTAATATTATCCTTGCATTTATAACACCTTATTGTTTCTTTGAGAGAAGTGCTTCACATGATTTTACTTTGAAGTGCAGTGTCTGTATTTGTAGATGTATTTGCGCACAACCCATCATGAAGTGAGAAACCAATTTTATTTAGGGTTCTTTTTTTTGGCCAGGACACCAGGAGACAGAAACTCACGTCTCTTTTCGAATAGAGCCATGGGATCTTTAACAGCTACCTAAACATCCAGATGGGACATCAGTTCCAATGTCTTATCCAGCGCTTCCAACAAAAAAGCATACCCCCAGCAATCCATTGGTGTGTCAACCTGGACTGTGAGTTCAAAGTCCTGATGTATGGCTTGAACCCACAACCTTCTGACTCAGAGGTGAGAGTACTAAAACTTGAGACAGGCTGACACCGAATCATACTGTTTAGCACAATTAAATCTGAGCCCTGAACTGAGGCTCCAACAGATAACCCCACATTGCATTATAGGGGTGAACAAGGATTGTTGGCTGATTCTTGCCATCAACCATCAACTTCCTCTCATTGGCCCATTTCACCAATCCCCCCTCCATATTATATACCTTCAATAGTCCTTGCAAGCTCTGGCCAGAATTGATGGCTAAATATTGATTGAGCTTTTGGGCCACTTTTGAGGAACGGTATCCCACGGTACAGTAGCAGACAAGGTCCTTGTTCTCTTTATTGTCTGAAACACAAAATAAAACCAGAATAAATCAAAGAGCAGACTGGGTGAGATGAATAAGCTACTATTTTAAATGCCTGTTGATTCTAAGAGGAAGGGAAGACAAGGGAAGGTGTGGAGTTCTGGGCTTGAAAGAACATTGGCAAATTGAAGATGGCGCTATGAGTTTTGAACTCAACACAAGTGAGAACGCAGGACATAGGAACAGTGTGTAGGACGAAAAATTTAGAACTTAGATGGCACAAGAGAGGAAAGTTCATCGGAGTATTGACAATGACAATTGTCCTTACACTTGATCACTTTAAAACATTTTAAAGCACTTCACTGATTTTTCTGGAGTGACTGCAAATATAAAGCTTCAGTTAAACAGAGGAAGACAAGCAGTTACAACAGAGATAAAGAAGCAAGAACTATAATGGCTTTATTTGAGGATCCAGCTGATAGATTTTCCCCTTACTTAACTACACTTTGCTTTCCTGGTAAATGCTTCACTAATATTCTATTTATTATGTTGTCTTATTCTCGACATGAATGATACAGCAACTAATAAAACAATCATATAATGAATTAATACAATATAACACAATCTACCTGCCAGGTCCAGACTTTGGACCACTTCATCCATATTGACGGTGTCTGGATCAACGTGTACAGCGCCTTCTAGGTGACTGACCTCATATTCAGCTAAACTCCGAGTGTCCTGAAGAGAAAAAGGATGTTCAAAACTGTAAGTCCTTTGTCATTCCGGTGTCTTATTAGCTAACAGAACATGACCGCCAGAAAAACGGAACGATTCCCATTCTCCCTGAAGAAGGTTCAATAGAAAGTTTCCTAATTCACATTCAAGAAGGAGCCACACATTCAATTAAACTCAATGGAACATTACTCACGGACACTGAACAGATCCCAGTTGAGCCAACTCGTGCTCAGCAGAGCAGTTCACATCACACATTCAAGAGAGACTTTTTGAAGCAGAGCCCCAATTCTCAAATATTCAAGAGACGACCAGTCATTGTACAGATGTCAGACTCAGTTAGCTCAGTCGGCTCCGCCATTGCATCTCCCCTAAGGCTGCCGAGACCCTCATCCACGCATTCATCCCATCCAGGCTTCATTATGCTAGCTCCCTGCTTTCCAGTTCGTTCAGGTTCTCTGCAGATCCTTTGTTAGGAAGAAGGAGTATGTTTTCCAAGATATTTTGGGCAGTCCATGGTTTACTCTGATAAAGGTTTCAGAGAAAGATCTGTTGGAAAATTCCCAAACTCTCAGCAGGTCCGTGCATAATTAACTAAGGTTGAAACCTTTCCGGGAAACCCAAAGTACAGGCTTTGTGTGAGTGTAATTGCTGGTCTATGCCGAAATATATCTAAGTCTATATATATCTATATATAAGTCCATGCAGTTAAGCAGTGCTTATTCTTACTAAATACTATTTTCAAATGTACATAATCCCTCCCTCACTAGTCTGAACATTTTAATACAGTTCTAAATTTACCAGAGTGGAGAAGCCTGTCTCAATGACGTGATAAGGTGCCATATCAAATGTAAGGATTATTATTATTGCTGTTGCATGGCAGTGCTGCCACAGTAAACGCTCACCAGCAGCACCAGCTGATCTCTCTCGGCCTCCAGCAAATCCCGAACCGTGTCGGTCGAAACTGCTTCCACCCCCTGAGAAGAGTGACGAACAAACGCGCTCACTTGTTTCAGCATAGTGAGCCCGAGGTGCTACCCGTTCATTCCGGACCAGGGTGGGCACGTATCGTCAGCGAAATCCGCGAACCTGTTCAGAGGAGCGTGAGGGAGCTGCATTAACGCACGCACGCGCGCAAATCCGCACGCACGCACGCGTGTAAATCCACACGCACGCACGCGCGCACGCACGACCGGGCGCGCCGGTGAGTCAGGTGAGCCCTGACCGATCCCTCAGCTCGAGCTTTGCCGATCCGATCAGCCAGAAGACAACCGTCGGCGCGCGGGACGCCGGCCGCCCTGCGCGACCGGCCGGCGCGCTTGGCCCGCGCGGTCTACAGCCGCCGGGGCTTTGCGGCGCAGTCCGCGGAGCGGCTCAGAGGCGTCTCGGAGACGTGATGACGACGATACCGACAACGACGACGACCGCAATAATAATAAAAAAAGCCCCTCATCGCGTCTCCGAGACGTCTCCCGAGCGCTTCGCGGGATACGCCGTGAAGCGAATTGACTGCGTACTTTGGTGCTGATGTCAAAAACAAGGATTATTATTGTTTATTGTGATTATTATGATTATTAGTGTTGGGTCTGGGTGGGGGGGGGGGGGGGGGAGTGGGGGGAGGGGGGGGGCGCTGCAGGACCTGCCGCCGCTCCGCCAGTCCAGGGGGCGCTGTGGCGGCAGAGAGACGCTCGCCTTGAGCGGCGCGCGCATCCCTTCCCCAACCAGTTGTCGGTTGGTGGTGGCGGCGGCGCGAGCGCCCGCGCGGCGGTGGAGTCGTCCCGGTTAAGACGCGGTACATATCTAAAAAAAAACGCTTCCTCACGCGAGTGAGTGAGTGAGTGAGCGAACGAACGGACGGCGCCGTCGTCGTCTTACTCGTGTGGAACGGCCGCGGTGAGTGACGGAGGCGCGCGATGGCCGCTGCCGTCAACACCGTCGAAACAGGTACTGAGCGGGCGACGGCCGGAAGTGGGGCCGCAGCGGGGGGCGGAAGTGGGGCAGCAGCCGCCGCAGCGCGGGGCGGAAGTGGGGCAGCAGCCGCAGCAGCGGGGCGGAAGTGGGGCAGTTGGGGTGACAGCTGGCCAGTGAGGAGAACTGGGTCTGTGGGTAACCCCGTTGTTGTTATTTTAATGATAGCCACATAATCAGCAGCAAGTCTTGCTCTTCGCCCCCTTCAAGGTGCTGAGTCACCCGACAGTCACCGGCCACCCTGTGGTGCTCAGGAGCTTCTGGAACTCTCTCCCTCCCTCGATCCCTCCGCCTTGACCCCTCGATCCCTCCGCCTTGACCCCTCGCTCCCCACTTTCAAATCCCGCTGAAAGGTCTTCCTTTTTGATCCATGCTTGCGGCCGCCCTCTTCCCTTTTCCCCTGGTCAGTGTCTTGACTCCGCCAGCGTCAAGCGCTACGGGACGCCACCCGGCGTGAAGGGCGCGCTATGTAAACGCAAGTTGTTGTGGTGGAGCCTGAGCCCAGCCTGATTTTCCCTGATTCCCTATCTCAAGCCGGGCATCCTGGCTAAGTTAATGCTACAGTAAAACTTGCAAAAGTCTTACCTTCATCAACCGTATAATCGCCCAAGTCGGACATACACCCAAGTCCTGTTCAGTTTCTTTTCGAAACCACTTAGATTTCTTTGCTCTACTCGTATTTATCATTTAACATGTAACACCGCTCCCCTATCCTCCATTACTCCCGCACTTACCAATTATATTGACAGACCACAGTCACTGTGAAGCATGTTCATGCAGGAACCCGGAGGATCTTTCTTTACTGTGTTGTTTATGAAACCTAAGAACATTTTTCATTGATCCTGTTTGACAGGAATTAGGATTGCTAGTCCTGCTTCTCATGTGTCCTGTCCATGTCAAGGTATCATGGCTTTGATTAGATCATACTACGTGATTGGTTTGTGTCGTTAATGCACCCACATGGGCCTTTAGAGTATTACTCAGTATTGGAATGTGAAGCATATAGAAAATGAGCAAATTAAATCTTTTTTTTCCTTCTGTTTAGAGGAGCAGTCAAAGCTGCGTTTCCAGGTAGAATTGGAGTTTGTTCAGTGTCTGGCAAATCCAAACTACTTGAACTGTAAGTACTGCTTGCATTATAATAATAATGATAATAATGATAATAATACTTGCATTTGAGATAGCGCTTTTCACGTCTTCGAGATGTCTCAAAGCGCTTCACAGAATATACTGTAAAGTGAATTGACTGTACATTTGTGGGCGAAATGCAGCAGCCAATTGCGCACAGCAGTGTCCCCACAAACAGTCATGGATTGAAATGACCAATTTATTATTGTGTTTTTTTTTGGAGAGATTATTATTAGGCGTATGGAGTAAGGAAACTTGCCCAAGGTTTCACCCTGCCGGGAATCAAACCCAGGTCTCTCGCTTGCAAAGCAAGTGCTCTAACCACTGAGCTACAGGACTCCTCAAAGCATTAAGCTATGGTTAGGGGTTAAAATCTTCAGCTGCTGAAGTCTATTGCAGTCTTCCCGAGGCTTCAGATAGATCGCATTGTTTACTTACCAGACAGTGAGTAACACATGTAGCATAAAGTCTTCCAATACCAGCCCCTGAGATTGTCAGTTTAATTTTGGCCAGATTTTCAGTTGGGCCACTAAGGGCTTGGGATGAGAACGCCCAAATTCATTTCACATAAGCAGGCAGCAGAGGAAGGAGACTTTCAGCCCAGATCCTGCAGGTGAAAGGTCAGTGTGCTCACCAGCTGTAACAATCACTGAGGATCTTCAGGAAATGAGAAATCAGAACAATCAAACAAAACAATCATCATAATTTTACTGCTGCCTGAACAGTCAGGGTCAATTTGCTCTATTATTAACAATATTGTAAGCCACTTAAATAGTGGCTTAATAAGCCACGAAACCGAGATCCCATCCTAGTCAAAAGCCAGAGGCACTACTTAATTCATCTTTATCTTAATTGCCCCCAAAATATATCTCAGACCAAGGGAGCTTGAATGAACAATTGTGTACTTCAAAGTATCATCTATCTCCTTTATCATCTGTCTGCACATTACAGTACAATAGAGTATATTTCCTTTGTGAACCCTGCTTTAGTATAATTTGTACATTGCACAATTCTCACGTTACCACGCCTGTGTTAGAAAAGGCCCCATCTTCATTGCTGTGTTTACATTCTTTAAAAAGGAACACATTGTCCCAATATATTCTCCTGAGACAAGCAAACCAAACACTAACTGCTTTGTAGTTGCGACAGCTGCAGGCTGCAGTTCACTGGAGGTTTCAGGAAAGTCACAGCAGAAGCTGACTAGGCTAGAAAAACAAACTGAGCGCTTCCATGTAAAGAGTAAATCTGGGTCCTGCATTCCACTACTGAAGTAAAAGCAGTAACACACTTAATACTGATGGTTCAAATCTGGAAATCGTGCAGTCACTGAATTTCTATTGGTGCAGTCAGTGTTCTCGCACTTATATGACAATGTAATTTACACTTACACAGCCCCATTCACGTCGTGAAGATGTCTCAAGCCACTTCACAGTGCTGGCTGGACATCTGAGCTGGGGGTGGGGAGGGGAAAGATGACCGAAAGCGTGGTCAAAGACAAGTCTTGAAGCGGTCTTTGAGCATGGGGAGGGACGGGACTGGGACATGTAGCAAGCCAGTATTCACTGAGTGAGAGGCTGAAGGAGGTGCCAGAGGCAGGGTGAGGAGAGTCCATGGAGGGATTTTAAAGTAACAAGGATCTTGAAGTTGATCAGTAGAAATGCATGACGGTGAGGCAGCAGAAACACAACACTCGTGCTTTGCCTGCGGTTCGATGGTGTTTGCGGTGTTCACCCTCGTATCTGCACTTACATTGTTTATTTCTCCATCCACCAGTTCTGGCTCAGCGCGGATTCTTCAGGGACAAGACCTTTGTGAATTATCTCAAGTACCTGCTCTACTGGAAGGAACCAGAATATGCCAAGTACTTGAAGTAAGCACACGGGTCCTAATCCCTCACTGTTCAGCGCCTTGGGACGTCCTCCCGACGTGAAAGGCGCTTTACAGATGTAATTTTGTATGGTATTGTGTATTTCCCCACCCAACTGGACTGCTAGATGGTGGGGTGGGTGGGGGGGGTGTATTGGAGACTGTGACTGATTGAATACACTTAACTCTCTGGTCCTCCTCCCTCTATCTCTCTCTGGCTGTAGGTATCCCCAGTGCCTGCACATGCTGGAGTTGCTACAGTACGAGCACTTCCGGAAGGAGCTGGTGAACGCCCAGTGCGCCAAGTTCATTGACGAGCAGCAGCTGCTGCACTGGCAGCATTACTCCAGGAAGCGAATGAGGCTGCAGCAAGCCCTGGCTGAGCAGCAGCAGCAGAACAATGCGTCCAGCAAGTGAGGGCTCAGAGGCTGGCGGTAGAGAAGCTCAGAAGATGGACAGATAGAATGATGATGATGGGGTTGGAGTTTAACAGACAGTGTGTGAAACACTGCCACCATATAGAGCACCGATATTATTAACTGGACAAAGCTTTGGGGAACTCTCCAGCCATTTGTACTTAAGAAAGGACCAATAGAACTGTTGTAAGAGGAGTTTTGCTCCTGTGGGAGCGAGCGACTGAAGGGCTTGAATTGGTGTTGACCTCTCCCCTCTCTTCCTCCTCCTCCTCCCGTCTTGTGTCGGATGAAAATGTCCTGAAGTTGCTCAGGGGCAGCAGAGACTATCGTCAGGAATGCAGCAAAGTTCACAGAAGTCATGGGAATAAATCCTGACCAAGCGGACAAGATTTGGGACTGGCCCCTGGAGAGCCATGTGTCCCTGAAGTTCCATTTGGTCCATTTGTTTGTGGGGGTAAAACTGTTGTAGTGAGCAATAAGCCTACTAAAATAACATCACAGTTGTTTATTACACATGACAGCCTGTGAAAATGATTTTCTCTCTTTGTGTTGGTGATTGTCAACTTGTGGTCGTCACCAAAGGGCAAGGTTGAGAGTGATATTTACTGGGTTAAAGAAGTTTGCGTTTCTAGAACCGTCGAGTTTACAGCCAGAATCCGGCCATTCGTGTCTGTGGTGGCTCTATGAATGAGCGATCCATTCAGACCCATTTACTTGCCTTTCCCCAAACTGTTCTAATCTGCTTTTTTTATGGAGAAGAGCTAAGAGAATTGGGTTAAATGGATTGCAAGCTCGGGTACAGTGGGCCAAATGACCTCCAGGTCTGTAAATTTCTATGCTTTGTTTATTATACTATGGTTATCTCTCGTGCATGATTGAATCGGTGCCTTGGGACGTACTCCTGAAGCGAAAGGCGGTGCATTGTTGTTGAATCTTTATAAATAAACCAATTGACTTCTGAAGTCACTGGGTCATACTGCGGTATCGGGACCTGCTACACTCTTGAGAGGTGTCTGGCCTAATATGAGGTTGGTGTGCAAGCTGATGGTTGATAGAGACGGGAACTCTCTGTCAATTCCAGATTCTCTGAGCCTCTGCTGAGGGACATTACATTTTTGAAACGTCAGAATACAACACCAATCTGTCTGTAGACTATTACTTGTTAGATTGCACATCCTCCCGACTACTGACGTAAAGCACCCTCCTGTCCGCACACACTGGTTAGCTAGAGCAAGAGTTAGAGACCGAGTAAAGCTCCCTCTATACTGTCCGTCCACACGCCCAGGTCAGGGTTAGAGACAAGAGTAAAGTTCCCTCTACACTGTCCGTCCACACTCCCGGGTCACCGACAGTCTGGGTTAGGTACAATGACAACAATAACAAATTGCATTTATATAGCACCTTTCATGTCTGGAGGACTTCTCGAGGCAGTGGTACAGAGAAAAGCTCCCTCTACACTGTGCACCCAGGACTCCCAGGTCAAGTACGCATCTTACTTCTCCCCAAGAATATTTCTCTGGGGAAGATATGCAATAGTATGTTACATCCAGCGAGTGGCAGTGCACTCCTTCCAGTTTAACTGATCCATTTAATGACACAAAGCAGAGGAGGCTGAGCACAAAGTCCTGTAGCAGTTTGTTCACGGTCACGTGCAGTTTACGCTTCCAATCCAACTGTAATAACCGGTCTGACTGCAGAACAGGCAGCAGTTTTCAGGCTGAAACCTTGTCGTCCGGGGCCTCGAGTCTTGGCCATGCTGAAGCCCGTGAGCGAGTGGATTAAGCACAGTTTCCAGACGGTGGAGAATGTGTCTTCGGACTCGCTGGAGCAGCTGCTGAAGGAGGACAGGGATCGGGTGGTGCTGGTGGTGAGTCAGGCACACGCTGGGCAGGAGCAACAACAAGTTACATTTGTATAGTGCCTTTCACGTCGTGCAGGAGCAGCTCAGCCAGAGAGACGCTCCTCTGACAGCCCGAGGCTCAGATAGAAAGGAAAAGATCAGACTGAAGGGAGCAATGTGGAAGCAATCCATAGCAAATCTGCAGGACACATGAGGTTAGGACCTAACACCGAGAGACAGCCACCCCAATGACGAGCAACTGGAATAGAGACTTGTGCTCGATTAACATTAAAACCTCCAATGTTCAGAACTGCTTGGAGACCACCCTCACACAGCCACCTCCCCCCCCCACCTCCCGATGCCTGGGCACACTTGTGTTTTGCACCAACTTGTCCGTGTTAATGTGTTCTTGGGCACAGCTTCACTGAGCTGTGCTTGAATGGGGATTGACACACTGAGCACCGGTGAATGTCAATAGGCATTAAACCCTGACCTGTGGGACTCTGGTGCATTGACCACAGTGACTTATGTGAGACAGCACAGATCCGTCAGACCCTGAGTAAATAGTTACCGATCAACTGAGGCCTGCTGGTTGCGTTGAATTGAGCCTTATTCTCAGTGTGGCTTATTCAAACAAAACAAACTTTTATTTTAGGACGTACGGAGCCCTGGCGAGTTCGAGGTCAGTCACTTACAAGGAGCTGTTCGTGTTGAACCAGACAACACTGCCATGGACAGCGTGATCCAGCAATTGGACTTGGGGCTGGCAGGTACAGAGCATTTAGATGTGTTTCTATCAGTTGTCGGGTCTATCTCCATGGTTAACCAGCGTACACACAGTATCTGACACACAGACCACAAACAGCCCAAACTCCAGCAAAACCCTGGTTGGGTTTTCGGTTAACTTTCTGACTCTGAAATAAAAACGATCGATTTGAAACAAACGATCTATTGTACGGAATCATTTAGTTTAGTTTGCCACAACGATAGTAATAATAATACTTACATTTGATATAGCACCTTATCACGTCTTCGAGACGTCTCAAAGGGCTTCACAGAATATACCATAAAGTGAATTGACTGTATATTTTGTGGCCGAAATGTAGCAGCCAATTGCACACAGCACAATTGGCCACAAAAACAGTCGTGGATTGAGTGATGAAATTACTATTTTTTTGGGAAGGGATTATTACCCCCAGAAAAGTGAGCCTCCAATCGACTTAACAACCAGGTTCCTACTTGCTACTGGGTAAACAGAGGTGTGTGTGTGTGGAGCATGGAAATTTGCCTAAGGTTTCGCCCTGCCGGGGAATCGAACCCAGGTCCTCTCGCTTGCGAGGAGAGTGCTCTAACCACTTTGCTGCGGGTCTCCACATATATTTCCTTAAAACGACTATTCGGGTTGCAGGTGGTCAGTGACAGAGTGTTCCGCGGGTGGCGACCTCCTACTGTGATCTGCCCCGCGTGGTTGTTCTGGTTTTGTTCTTCAGGTGGTGAGGAACTGAGAGAGATCATCTGCTACTGCACCACTGGCTATCAGGCTGCACATCTGGCTCAGAACCTCAACACCTTTTTGGAAAGTGAATGCGGTCGAGGCTTGCGTGGACAGCTGAAAGTTTCTAACCTGGAAGGCGGGTTCCTGAAATGGACCAGAGAGAACAGGGCTATAGTGGACAGCAGCAACCAGCCCACGACCTTGGTTCACCCCTATAATGAGCTGTGGGTAGAGCTGCTAAAGGCTGAATTTAAGGCTCCTGTCTAACCCCGGGAGCGGAACGAGAATAACATGTGTTTATACCGAGCCCATCATGTAACTTTCAGCGACTCAAAGCGCTTTATAATATAATTGATTCAAAATGAAGTGAAATTAATTCTACAGGCAAACACAGCTGCTAACCTGTCGATCACAAACCGCGATGAAGTGAATGGTTATTTTTTTTTCTGGGGGAATTGTTGGCCACGACTTTGGGAGAGAGAAAAACTCCCTTCTCTTTTCAAGTAGTGTTGCGGGATCTTTAGCGTCCACCTGAACAGGCAGACTGGACTTCGGTTAACTGCAGTGTTCCGCCTCAGCACCTCACCAGAGTGTCAGCCTGGACTTTGAGTTCATAATCCCACAACTTTGCTTTCTGATTACAAAAAGAAACATGCCACAAGATAAATCAGATAGCTAAGTGCTGATTTACTGTCATAAAAGACCGAGCACATAAATGACTATTAACAGCCTATGATAGATCGCATTGACATTGATTAATCAAACTTAAGTCTGTTTGCCAACGATCAATTTAAGTCTCTGAGACACATGGAGAGTTCACCTGTCTCCACGACAGAATAGGTCAATGCTCTTGTTAACCTGATCTGCATTGTTGAGTATGGTGATGGTGGAATATTGTAGCCTCTTTGTAAACCAAGGTCAGTTTAACTCATTCTGACATGAGCTGTAGGAACACACCCAGCGATCCGGTCTGCCCGACTTTGCAGATCTTTATAGTTTATAGAGAGATTTATCTCTTGTGTTATTGAGAAACAAGGTGAAATGTGAGGGTCTGTGGAGCAGTACACCACCAAGGTTGAAATGAGTAGCAGGGAAAAACAAGTCTTACAAAGACCTACATATACTTTGCAGTATATTCTGTGATGTGGTTTGAGACTTCCTTTGGACTTGAAAGAGCGCTATATCCAATTGCAAGGACTGTTGTTATTTTGCAATGAGTTTTGAGTCCTTGAAAGGTTCGTGCCTCATCTGATGTCATTCTGCATTTGCTAACACACAATCCACTGTGGTGAGAGAACTGAGAATATTTGTGTTTATTTTGATTATTGCAAACATCATTGACTGAGGTCAGTGCAGCTGCACTGTTTGAACGCACTCTAAACACAGTATCTGAGAACGATTGCGCACACGAAGTTAGGAACAATATCTCACCACAACCGGCCATCAGGAATATTGTAAGAGGAACAGCAATGACTCACTACAGAGGAGTAAATACACCAATCTCACGAAAACATCCATCCCCTGAGGGTGCGGAGTGCAGGGGAGGCAGTAACCTTAGCCAGTAGCCATTGCCCCTTTTCACTAACACTCTGACTAAACTGCTGCAAACCAGTAATGCTGTGGCTCGTTGGTGCTGTTGATCTTGATCTCCAGTGGTTCAGAAATCCAGCCTGGCAGCTCCTGAACATTTTCATTCAGCAGAACAATCAGAAAGAGGCCCTGAGCTCGGGCTCTAACAGCTGGCCCCACACCTGGTTATAAGGGTGGACCAGGGCGGTGGGTTTATTCCTGCCGTCAACGATCTCCTTCCTCTCGTTGGCCCATTTCACCAAGCCGCCCTCCAGGTTGTACACCCTCGGCAAGACCTCCTCGTGCCGGCCAGAACCATTGGCGAGAAAGCCGCTGAGTTTCTGAGCCATCTGCGAGCCGTGGTACCCGACTGTACAGTAACACACCACCGTTTTATTCTCCTTCTGAACGTCTGAAAACACAAACAGGCAACAAACAGTCCAAGTCAGACTCCTGGGCCTTTGGTGACCCGGTCAGCTGTTCCGCCAGTAAATCACAGCAATCGACAAGTCCCTACCTGGCAGGCCCAGCTGCTGGACCACATTGTCCATGTTGCTGGCGTCCGGGTCGACCCGAACGGCTCCTTCTATGTGACTGACCTCGTACTCCGCCTGACTCCGAGCGTCCTGAGATGGAAAGGGGGAAAGTTACCAACTTTGGTGTGTTCAGGACAGTGTTGTACAGCATCACTCACTCCCTGCCCCAGGAGTGCTGAGGTCAGGCATAAACCCTGCACTGAGGGGCAGTGCTTCAACTAACAGTAGAACTCCATGGCCAGAAGTGGAGAGTGGATCCCATCCCACGCAGTAGATCCAAGGCCAGGGAGCTTCCCAAATGCCCCTGCAAATTGTCCCAAGTGCGAATGGCTCCCTTCATGCCTCGCGCCAGCCTAGTTCCAATTAAGCCCATCAAATGAGCAGATTCCAACACGCCTTTGGTCACTCTCCTACCTCTACCCTCCCTGCTCTCCACCCTTTTCCTGATCCCCCCCACCGCCCACCCCCCCAGCTTGATCCTCGATTGTCCAGCGCCTTGGGACGTCCTCCCGAAGTGAAAAGACGCTGCGTAAATATAATTTGTTGTTATTGTCGTCGTTGCTCCTGCCCAGCGTGTGCCTGACTCACCACCAGCACCACCCGATCCCTGTCCTCCTTCAGCAGCTGCTCCAGCGAGTCCGAAGACACATTCTCCACCGTCTGGAAACTGTGCTTAATCCACTCGCTCACGGGCTTCAGCATGGCCAAGACTCGAGGCCCCGGACGACAAGGTTTCAGCCTGAAAACTGCTGCCCGTCCTGCAGTCAGACCGGTTATCGCAGTCGGATTGGAAGCGTAAACTGCACGTGACCGTGAGCGAACTGCTACAGGACTTTGTGCTCAGCCTCTGCTCTGTGCCAGCACCGAAGTCTCACACAGTCACTGGCTGCCAAGGATTAACGCACTGTGCCACTGTGCCAGGGTTTCGCAATAAAAACGTGCACTGATCAGTGTTTTGCACACCAGTCAATTCACTTTACAGTGTGTCCCTGTGAAGCGCTTTGAGGCGTCTCGGAGACACGATAAGGCGCTGTATCAGACGCCAGGATTATTATGATTATTATTATTTCTTTCTTGGCAGCAAAGATTGGGGCCACTTGGAGGTCGCTCAGCTCCGTGCTGCTCCTCCCTTCAATAATAATCCTTGCCGTTTTCACAGCCCCCATCAAGCCTGGAGGACGTCTCAAAGCGCTTCACGGTGATTCACACTGAAGTGTAGTGACTGCGTATTTTCTAGGCGAACGCAGCGGCCGACTTACGAGCAGCAATTTCCCACGGGTGGCACGGAGCGAGTGATCGATTGTAATTGCGGGATTGTCAGCCGGGACACCGGGAGAAACTCTCTTCTCTTTCCGATCTGTGCCACGAGATCCTTGGGAAGGAGCAGGCTTGATGAACCAACCATGGGCTGATTGGGAGAGACACAGGCACAAGGAACACCCTGCGGGTTAGTGAGTGCAAACAGCAGAACCAAGCGAGTGAGTACCGAATCCATGTCACTGACTGTGGAGTCGGCGGTAACCCAATTCCATTCACCGACACTTTATATTAATGGTTACTTTTTAGGGACCAAGATATATAAACCTCGGGTGATATAGAGCATGGGCACCGTGTGTCCGATTAAAGACTGTGGGACGCTGCTGTGCGCAATTGGCTGCTGTGTTTCGCCCACAAAATACACAGTCGATTCACTTTAACAGTATATCCTATGAAGAGCTTTGAGACGTCTCAACGGCATGATAAGGCGCTACTTCGAAAGCAAGGATTATTATTATTATTAATACTGTTAATAAAAGTATGATTCAAGCTGGTTCTCTTTCTGTCTCTCCGTGTGACAGACGCAGTGTTTTCACGCTCTCTCCTGAGCACTCTTTGTTTCTGGTGTTTGAACAGAAGGAACTCAGCCAACCCTCCCCTCACTTCCGCAGGAAAGAGCGGCGTTTCCTGGGGAGGAAATGGGAGCTGAGGGCAGGGATCGAGCCATCTCCCAGTCGAGGGACTGACTTGGAGCTCAGGGCTGCTCCGAAACCGAACCAAGTCGTCGGCGGACACCGGTTAACGCTGAGACTGAAAGACGTTGATCGGAGGCACCGGGGTCCTGCTCTCTGATGCAGTATGGAATCACTGCTCCTCTTGGTCAGCTCAGCCCTGATCCACGCCTCTCACACCCAGCAACTGCAGCCCAATGGTACCAATGTCTGCCGCTCGCCAAGGTAACTCCACATGACCTCTCCCTTTCACCATCTCTGTCTCTCCATGTGTCCGTCTTTCCCTGTGTCTGACTCTCTCCCTTTCTATCTCTCCCTATCTATCTCTCCCCGTCTGTCTCTCCTCTGTTTCTATATTTCCCCCCCTCTCTCTGTATCTCCCTCTCCCTCTCTATTTCTGTGTCTCCCTTTCCGTCTCTGTGTCTGTCTGTCTGTCTGTCTGTCTCTCTCTATCTATCTATCTATCTATCTATCTATCTATCTATCTATCTATCTATCTATCTATCTATCTATCTATCTATCTATCTATCTATCTATCTATCTATCTATCTATCTATCCATCTATCCATCTATCCATCTATCCATCCATCCATCCATCCATCCATCCCTCTCTCTCTCTCTCTCTCTCTCTCTTTCTCTCCATCTCTGTCTGTCTCTCCCTGTTTCTATCCTTCCCACTCTATCTCTGTGTTTGTCTCTCCCTATCTCCATGTCGCGATCTGTCTGTATACCTCAATGCCTGGTTCTTCTTTACCATCTCTGAGTCTGTTGCTGGATCTGTCCCTGTCTGTCTCTGTGTCCATCTTTCCAAAAGAAAAAAAATAATAATTTAGTCACTCAACCCACGCCTGTTTGTGGGGCGCTGCTGTGCGCAATTGGCTGCCGCGTTTCGCCCACAAAATACACAGTCAATTCACTCTACAGTATATCCTGTGTAGCGCCTTGAGACGTCTCGATGACCTGATAAGGCGCTATATCAAATGCGAGGTTTATTATCATTATTATTCCTTCTCTATCTCTACGTCTGTCTCGGTCCATGCCTCTCCCTGTCTGTTTCTCCCTGTCCTTGTCTTTCATTGTGTGTCTCCCTGTAGATTTCTGTCTGTGAAAGGTTCCCCCAGCTTCCCTTCCACCCCCCCGACCGACCCCGCAACCCCACCCCCCACCGTACGCTCCCTCTTTAAGTATCATGTTGTCCATGTGGACCCCAAGTCCAGGGTTGTCTTGACCCATTGTGTAGCTGTGACTAAACTTCCAACCTCCGCACTTTGTTTGCCCGTATCTGTGATTATGTGACGCACACTAAGGCTCGCCACATTGGCGTGAAAGCAGAGGAAACCTTGGGAATTATCATTGTCCATTAAAAATATTTCATCACTGGGGTGGGAGAAGGGGACATGAATAATAACTCATGGGTAACGTGGGACTTTGGTCACAGCGAGGATGAAACAATAGCTGAGAGATGGCGTTGTATGTGCAAAGGCTGACCTGCCCCTCTTTGTGTCTACATTTTGTTCACTTCCTTTCTGCCTGTGGCTGAGAGAGCATTTGTTTGCTCATGTAATGGTGGTGCAATGGTTCTGTCCAGTGCAATATTGTTCTGACACACAGGGAAACGCACAGACAAATTGAGATCCACACAGACACACAGAACACTCGCTGCCAAATTACACAGTCACCACACTTCACAGTGAATGCTCTGAAGCACTTTTGAGACATCCTCCCGACTTGAAAGGCGTCATCTCAAACGCAAGGATTGTTATATTCTCGTTCTATGTGGATTTAGTGCATTTTTTGTGACCTCAAAAGGGAACATTTGCTTCTTAAAGCCCTTGGTTGCAGTTTGGCAGATGCCTGGAGGAAGCCCTCCCATCGTGCTCTGTGTGTGCCTCTATAAATAATAATAATCTGCTCACTCCATCCCTGAGCCAGGCTGACGCACAGAGAAACACTGACCAGGTCCTTAGGCTGTTATCCCTTCTAATAATAATAATTATAATAATTATAATAATTATAATAATCCTCGCATTTGATATATTATTATTATATAGCGCCTTATCACGTCTTCAAGACGCCTCAAAGCGCTTCTGATGCTATATCTCAACCCAATGAATTGTGTTGAGCTACACAAGGGAAGGGAACATGAGGGCTCTACGTGGTAGGGGTCAGTGCTTGAGCCCACCCATAGCTGACAGCACCACAGTAACGGGGCGATTTGCGATCTGATGTTAAGCCCTTTGTTGAAGAGTCTCAGTCATCTCAACGTTTCCTGTTCTCACCAGCGATCCTCCCACACTCATCTGCTGTCCGGGGTGGAAACCGAGAGGACACGACTGCACCATCGGTAGGTGTTTGAGAGCCAAGGCTTTCTGTTAATGCTTACTCTAAAACCTGCTAAAGATAGTGTGCTGGGCTAAGTGTAGATCTGGAGGTGTGTGTGTGTGTGTTTGTGTGTATGTGACCTGTAATCTCTTTGCTTCGTGCGGTTGGGATGCGCTGTCTGGATGCCGGTCATTGTGTGACTAACTCGAGGACATTGGCAGACGTGTTGGCTTCAGTTATCGGCAGCTTTGTGTGAGATTGAGAGCACTGCGCCTCTGCACTGAACCAACTGTGTTTTACCCACAAAATCCACCCAGCTGTTTGTGGGACACTGCTGTGCGCAATCGGCTGCCGGATTTTGCCCACAAAATCCTGTGAAGTGCTTTCAGATGTCTCAACAACATGATAATTCGCTAGATCAAACGCAAGGATTATTATTGTTATTACCATCATTATTACTGAGCGTCTATGGACCGTGGAGAGTAACCCTGGCCAACCGTTCAGTCTGTTCCTTGGCTCAATGTCCAAATGATCCCCGGTCACACAGGGCGTCTCCGCTTAACACTTGTACATTTTGCAATCACTTGCAGCTGTCTGTGAGGAGCCAAACACCTGCCGTCTCGAGGAGATCTGCATCCGGCCCGGAGTTTGCCGCTGCCCACACGGGTACTATGGAGCCCAGTGCATCACCAGTGAGTACAGTATCTTCTATTACAACAACAACTTTCCTTTGCACAGCGCACCCCTCGCGCAGACGGTGGCGGAGCGAGCACGCACGATCGCTAGCACTGTGCCTCCGGACGGAGCGATTGCGGACTGTGTTTCACCCGCAAAGCGCACGTCACTACACTTTACAGTGCACCGCGTGCGAAGCGCTGTGAGACGTCTCGCCCACAAATTCACATTCACTACACTTTGCAATATATTCTGCGGAGCGCTTAGAGACATCTCGACTGTATCAAATGCAAGGACTATTATCATTATTAATATTATCATGATTATTATTATGTGTCGTGTTCTTGAAATGATAATTATTATAGTTATGTCTGTCTGCTTGTTCCCCAGGATGCCCCGACCAGTTCTGGGGGCCAGACTGCAGGGAACTGTGCCCTTGTTATCCCAACGGCAAGTGCCACGGTGTGACTGGCGCCTGTACCTGTCGCCGAGGACACTGGGGAGTCAACTGTGCCAGGACTTGCCGATGCCAGCGAGGAAAGTGCAACCCTGTCACGGGGCAGTGCGAGTGCCAGGCCGGCTGGTGGGGCTCTGACTGCAGCCAGGCCTGCGGCTGTCACAACGCCGGGCCCCAGTGTGACCAGGCCAGCGGGAGGTGCACCTGTTTGCCGGGGTTCTTGGGCAAGAAGTGCCTTTACCGCTGCTCCTGTAACCATTCCCCGTGCCACCAGGTCACGGCCGTGTGCGACTGCAATGCGGGCTGGTGGGGCCAGGGGTGTGACAAGCGGTGCATGTGCGAGCACGGGACCTGCATCCTGGCCAACGGGATTTGTGTGTGTGACCTTGGCTTCCAGGGGAAAGAGTGCAGTGAGCCCTGCCAGGCTGGATACTATGGAGAAGGCTGCCAGCACAGGTATGAGCATTCCCAAAGCTCGGCACATCCCAGATCGACCGTTCTGGCTTCCCCCTGTTAGCCTCACTGCACTGATAGGCGGGAAGTTCCTCTCCCTCTAATCCTGGTCCCCTTACTCTTATTTTACTCTTTCCCAGGAGCTAAAGCCTCTACACATTTCCTCCCACCCTCAATCTCCCCTTAAGGACATAAGAACGTAAGACTTTCCTCGGCGAAAGAAGACCAAGGTTCATCTCGTTCGCCTTCCACCACCCCTGGCTTGACATGTAGTGTCCCCAACTTTATACTGTATTATTTTCTAGCAGAAATCTATCTAATTTGTTCTTGAAACAAACGACAACCTTCTCCCCGTAACCTGCAATGATTTAGCCCCCAAACTCAGCCTCGCTGATCCCTCATGTCCCTTCCTCTCCGCTCCCCCTGTCTCTACAAGCCTCTTCAATCTGGTTTCTTCCCCACGAGCCCAGACCCCTGACATGGCTTTCTTTCCCCACTTCACAGATGTGGCCGCTGTAAGGATGGTCCCTGCTCCTCCACCGACGGCTCCTGTGCGGCCTGTGTCCCGGGCTGGAATGGCACTCGCTGCAACCAGTCCTGCGCCCCGGGATTCCACGGGGAAAACTGCCGGGAAAGCTGCCCCCTGTGCAGAGCCGGGGAGGTCTGCGATGTGGAGACGGGGGTCTGCGGTTCCTGCGATCCAGGCTGGAATGGCTCCAGGTATGGCAGTCAGTACAACAGCGCTTTCTCTGTCTCTCTCTCCGTCTCTCTCTCTCTCTCTCTCGCAACGCTGCCACTCACCACTCTACTCTCCCCACTCCGCTACCCGCTGCCTCCCCTTGGCTGGCTCCGGCCTCCTGGCCCGGCCCTCGGCCCCTCCGCTCCGCCATCGGTGGCCACACTTTCAGCCGCTCCTTAAGAACATAACAAGAATTTGCTGGGCAAAAGAAGACCAAGGTCCCATCTGGTTCGCCTTCCACCATCCTGGCAGTCACTTGTCATGTCATGTCCCCAAACTATATTCTGTATTATCCCCAGATATTATTTTCTAATAACTATGCCCCAAAACTTTGAAACTCTCTCCCCCAATCCCTCCGCCTCGCTCCTTCCTCCTTCCCCTCTTTTAAACCGTGACTGAGGATCTTCCTCTTTGACCGTGGTTACGGTCACCTCCTCCCTCCCCTCCCCCCTGACTCGGGGTCAGACTCGCCACTGTCAAGCGCTCCGAGAGCCTGCCCCGCGTGAAGGGCGCAGTGTAAATGCAAGCTGTTGGGGGCCTCATGTTGTCATTTAGTGAGGCGCTGGTTAAACATTGGCACCGTAGGACTTTGTATATTAGACGGTGCCCGCTGCTGTGTGGAGCTGCTGTGTGGAGCTGTTGGCAGGTGGGCAGAACTGGCACTAACCTGTGACTTGGCCCCAGGTGTGATTCTCACTGTCCAGCTGGAACCTTTGGGGATGGCTGCCGATTCACCTGTCCTGACTGCTCCCATGGTAACTGCCACCATATCACAGGAGAATGCCTATGTGATCCAGGCTATACTGGAGACAGGTGAGGAGACAGCCACACACGCGCGCGCGCACACACACACACACACACGTACAATCACAGCCATGTCACCCATACACAGGCGTTCGATATATAAGACACACACAGCACTGAGAGACCGGAGTCACAGTGATACTCACACACACGCACACACACCATCCCACAGTCCCGTCACCTCGTCCCCTCCCTTGCCTCCTTCAAGGCCCGTCTCAAGAACTTCCTCTTCGACCACACGTTCGGTCACCCTCCTAACCCTAACCCTCCCTGGCCTCCACCCCTCCTGATCCCAACGCCCAGCTCGGGTACAAATCCTTGACTGTGTTCCAGTTGCCTTGAAACATCCTCCCGAAGTGAAAGGCGCAGTGTAAATGTAATTTATTGTTGTTGTTGTTGTGTAGCTGTAACCATACGTGCCCTGAAGGATATCACGGGGCGAACTGTTCTACGACCTGTCACTGTTTGGGGACTTCCTGCGATCACGTGTCTGGCTTGTGTGAGTTCAGTAAGTATCTCTCACCTATCACACAGTGTCGTTGTGTCCACAATATTGAGTGACGTTGATGTTGTCCACTGTCTGAGACCATTGTTGCCGCTGGCTTTTCACACCAGCTCTGATGATCCTAGTTGCCTTTTGACCCAACTTGGTGCCAATTTGTGCCCAAACTGTGCTGCTCCTGCTGGCAATTGGTCATATTGCTGATTGATAAATAATAATAATAATAATCCTTGCGTTTGATACAGTGCCTTATCACATCTTGTCCAGCGACTTGAGACGTCCTCCCGACCTGAAAGGCGCTATACAAATGTAATTTTGTTGTTGTCTTCATGACGTCTCAAAGTGCTTCGGAGAATATACCGTAAAGTGAATTGACTGTGTATTTTTGTGGGCAAATAAATATATTGATTGTGGGGTCACGACAGTGTTTAGGGCCAGAGTAAAGCCCTGGTCCCCACTGTTACCCCACTCACAGGAAAGAAGCCCAGACAGACACACAGTGTGATGCTTTCGTTCCTCACGTTGGTTGTCCTTTTGACCCCCTTTGGACAATTTTTGCCAAACCGTGTTGTTTATTGCGCAGAGCAAATTGGCTGCCACGTTTGCCTACAAAACAGACAATTACTGCACTTTACGCTAAATCTGGGACGCTTCCCAGGGTGAGGGGCGCTGTGTAAATACAAGTTGTTGTTGTAAATCCCATGAAGTGCTTTGAGACGGGATAGCGAAGGATTTGCTTAATGCTGGGACTCAGCCATTTTGGCCTCCCACAACATTAGGGTTTGCTGATGTTGTGTTGAGGCCAAAGTGGTTGAGTCCTTCTGGTGAAGTGTCAGTGCCAGACTCGGTGGGGGGGCTGAGGTCTAGCTCACGGTGGCTTTAGTTGGAGCTTCTGTATGTTGTACCCTGACTTGATGGCTTCCTCCCTGGAACAGGTAGAAAGGGCGCTGTGATTGCTGGTGTCCTGGTCACCCTCGTGGTCCTGTTAGTCTGTATCCTGTGCTGCTGTTGTTGTGGAGCCGATGAGAACGACCCCAAGAACAGGTAAACAGTTAATGTTCATTTATTTTGCAATCTACAGGAGAAAGGGGGGTGGGGGATGGGATTTGGGGGTCTTATACTCATCGGAGCGAGAGATATCAGTACACTGGTTTGGTACTTGTCATCGTGTTTGCTATCCAACACCAAGTGAAACACCAAGTATCCCCAGGTTACAGTCTGAGTGAAGCTTTAATCCAACCTCACAATAGCATCTTCCATAGGATGGGGGCTGAAGGCCAGCATAACATACCCTATCTGACAACCTTGCCGTGTCTCTTTGCTCAGGGCGGTAGACGAAGGCAGGGGTCCGATGGCGAGGATGAAGCATCATGTCCAAGGGGTCCTGGCAAACCTCAGCTCCACCAGCTTCTCCTTCGGCAATCAGAAGTTGCCTAAGATCACCGGTAAAAAAAACATTACCCAAAACTCAGCTCTTTACTCATTACTCATTCCTCGGTTTTATCTTAATCAGCGGAGCACACGGAGGTTCACAGGGTTTTCCAGTAAATAATAGTAATAAATAATAATAATCCTTGTATTTGATTCAGCGTCTTATCACATCTTCGAGACGTCTCGAAACGCTTCACGGAATAGACTGTGAAGTGAATTGACGGGTATATTTTGTGGGCGAAACGCGGCAGCCAATTGCGCACAACAGCGTCCCCACGAACAGTCGTGGACTGAGCGACCAAATTATTTTTTTTTGAAGGGATTATCAACCCCCGTCAGCTTTATCCTGTACCTGACTCCGCCAGCAGATGACGATATTGCTCTGGTGTTCTGACGTTCGTTTCAGAGACGTCTGTGCAGCAGGCTATTAAAAATGCTCTCCTGTCCTGAAGGCACTGCCGCATTCATACCGGGCTTTGTTTTTTTGGCCGGCCGGGTGTCTGACACACGCGGAAACCCACCACCGTGCTTAAAAGTATCCAAACCAAGCTGAGAATCCCACCTGCACAGAGATAAATCGCTCAAAGCGCTTGACAGAATAGACCGTAAAGCGATTTGACTGTATATTTTGTGGGCGAAACGCAGCAGGCAATTAATTCCACGTTATGTCTGTTTGTGGGAAGCTGGTGCGTGGAGATTGGTTGTCGCGTTCACCTACAAAATACACACGGTCCATATCTACTCTGCAGTGAATCCTGTGAATCACTTTGTGGTATTTCGAAAGCGCGATGAACCGTTTCAAAATGCGTTACGTTAATGCAATGCAGCACCTTGTTTGTGTGTTTTATCCCGCAGCCCCTCCGACTCGCCCCCTCCCTTGCTTCGTTTCAAGACCCTCCTCCTCGACCATGTTTTCGATCGCCCTGCCTCCCCTCCCTCTGCCCTCCACCCTCCCCGACCCCGACCCCCAGCTTGGGTCCGAAACTCAGTCTGTCCAGCGCTTTGGGACCTTCTCCCGACGCGAAAGGCGCTTTACAAATGTAGTTTTGTTGTTGTTGTTGTTGTATTTGGGTTGGAAGCTTACGTTGAACACTGTTGGCTTTGTGTGAGCGGTTGATTGTCTGCATCGCATGCTGGTGAATGCAGGCGCCATGAGTGAGTGTGTCACACAGTAGTGAATGTGTTGTGTGATTGATGCTGGCAGAGTCGTGTAAAACTAGGTCTTTCTGCCTCGCAGTTTCGCACCACGATGCCGATGTCACCTTTAACTGCAGCTTCATTGACTCGCCGTCCGCTGGCTGGGACTCAGCCTCGTTCTCCTCTTTCGAGGCAGACGAAGAAGGTCCAGTGTATTGTGTTCCTCCTCGGGAAGGTAAGGGCGAAAAGCAAGGCAGGAACGCCTGAGAATCCACAGTCACACGCGGCTGTATCAGCACATGTGCTTGACACCATCTCAACCTCCTATTAAAGAGTGAGGTGTTTGGCCAACCACTGTAGAAGGAGGGTCCAGATAATAATGATAATCCTTGTGTTTGATACAGAGCCTCATCACGTCTTCGAGACGTCTCAAAGCGCTTCACAGGAGATACTGTAAAGTGGAGTGACTGTGGATTTTGTGGACGAAACGCGGCAGCCACTTGCGCAGCGCAATAAATCATACATCTGCACAAGTCTCGTTCAAGGCTTTACATTCCATGCAAGTTTGACATACTTTGCATAAGTCGTATTAAATGACTGGTTCCATCGGATACAACGTATGTGGGGTTTACAGTGGTGTGTGGAGCTCTCTAATGTGACCACCCTTTATTCTGGTCTCCTTCTTACTTCCAGGAAATGGTTTCATCGCGGTGGGAGAGGGGTTTCAGGAGATGAGCTCCAGGTGTAACTATCTCCCAGCAGAGAATTCCGAGTTTAACAGTGTCGAGGGCCTGGAGTCCTTCTCCATACCGAGAACCTCCAGCATCGTCAAGGCCAAGCGTCCCTCAGTCTCATTCGCGGAAGGGACCAAGTTTGGCCCAGAGGAACGGAGAGGCTCAATGCCCGAGAGCAAGGTGGAGCCCAGTAACAACAGCCAGAGGAAGCGAAAACTCTCCTGGACCCTGAGTAAACTACCCCCCATCCAGTCCGCCTCCGCACCCAGCGATCTCCATCTGCCAGTTTGTGAGCCCTATGAGTACACTGAGCTCCCCATAAGTTGCCAGGAGTCGGAAACAGAGAGCAGGTCCTCCCCACCAGCCGGGGCAGGGGACCACAGGCGGACTTTGTCCAACGCCAAGAGAGGTCCTCAGGATGTGGTGGAATGTGCCGAAATCAGCTCTGTTTCTGGCGATACCGAACCAGGTGCCAATGAGCAAAAAGTGACTACAGTTTATGTCATGGTGAGCAGGCCTCAGAGAGCCTCCAAGATTGGGGGCATTCAGGCAGAAGGAAGTGGGAAAGTTCAAGCAATGCTCAAAAGGTTTGGTAGTTTCCAGAGACAGAGGTCGAGCCCCAGAGAGGGGCGAAGACCCATCGCAAGGGGAGAAGGTGTCTCCAAGGCACGTCAAAAGTTTATCGCTTTGGACAAGAACAACAGGCACCAGGTGTCAGAGCCTGTGGGGAGCTCAGTAGTGGAACTGAAGACGGCCAAGGGAGCTTCACTCCCCAGATATTCCCGCACGCCCACCATTGGCCAGCCTCAGGCAACGGGGTCTCCCAGCTCGACCATGACCAAGAAGGCCCTCATCCCCACCACCTCCATCCTTAGGAAACTGGTAGCAAACGTGGAGGGCACTGAGGAGAGGCTGGAGATGATACACGGTTCCATTCACAGAGACACCCACAGTGACCAGGACAGCAGAGACCGTGAGCGAGGCCACCAGCAGGAGAAACTCGCTGGCCAAGCAGGAAGTGAAAACTGACTGTGAGACTGTCCATGACAGAACGCAGGGCACTGCAGCGTTACAATGTGAGCACTGCTCTCGACAGACACGTAGTCAAGGCACGGATCCTGCTCAGCTCAGCCAAGTTTCCTTCCCCGCCCCTCCCTCCCTCCCTCCATCCCTGCAATTCCCAGTCCACGCTCTTGAGTTCGAACATTCCCGTGTTTTTCCCCAAAAAAATTGGGGGGTTGGTGGGCGGGAAAATTAACCCCTCAAACAAACTTTGGTGAGATGCACTAATCTTGCAGTCTGGGTTAACAAATCCTTTCGAGACATTAGATTTTGACACATTTTTGATAAAAGATGCGAATAAGACATCGTTTAATGTGGGAGGAAGAGAGTCTGAATATAAGAACAACCAGGTGTGTTCCTGGGTTCTACTTTCCATTAGAAAATAATGTCTCGGGGCACTGATATGTATAGTTTGGGGTCACGACATGGCGAGCGACTGCCAGGGTGGTGGAAGGCAAACAAGATGAACCTTAGACTTCTTTCGCCTAGCAAATTCTTATGCTGTTATCTGCTTACTTTTAGCGCGTCAGCCCGGCTCAGTTGGTGGCGCTCTCGCCTCCTGAGTCGCGGAGGTTGTGGGTTCAAGCTCCATTTGGCTCACTGTCTAGACGGGCGCTCCCTCCAGTGCAGTGCCGGGGGAACTCTGGGTGTCAGAGGTATTGTCCTTCGGATGAGATGTTAATTTGAAGTTGATAAAGATCCCACAAAGCTAGTGGAAAAGAGAAGAGAATGCCTCCTGAAACCCCCCCCCGGCCATCCATCCCCCAGAGAAAAACTGGCCATTCACTGCATGGCTGCGTGTGGGACTTGGCTGCACACAAATCGGCTGCTGCATTTGCCTGCAAATACCACATTTTACAAGAAAAGCCCTGGAAGTGGTTTGAGACAATCCAGTGTTCTTGGCACTGCATCAAATACTGCACCAGCATCGTGGTATGGTAGCTCGGAGTGAAGTTTTATAATTACCCAATAGCTTCATAAATAATGCTGCAGCCTTCAGTTTGTGTCTGGTAATCAGTTGTGGACAGTGTCTTGTCTTCCATCCACACACTCTTACGAACATACACATGCTCACACTCACACACTCACACCTACACACACACATATACACCCACACACACCCTTCCCAAGGGGATGCCTACTAGTTGTTGGACGCGAGGTGGGATGCAGCTGTTTCCTCTCATCTCTTGTTGATGTGTGGAGGTCTCTGATGCACACACACACACACTCCCACACGCGACACATGAGCAATGCTGAGATTAGCAGAGATTCCAGGAACTCAGTACAAGTCCACCAAAAGACACTCACTCACACTCTTCCTCCTTCCCACACCTCAGATTTACACAGACCACAAGTCATGGCTGACACACCACTGTCCAGCTCTTGAGAACTCATACAAATTTCCCAGATTCTTTGTTGTCACGTCTTCCTCTCGTGGCAAAACCTCCTCACAGATCAAGACATCGAACACAGTAGGTTCCCTGTCCCCTGCTCACATCAAAACCGTCCTTCGTCAACAACAACAACTTGCATTTATATAGCATCCCTTACACAGCGCAGAGTCCCAGAGCCTTCAACTGGTTTCAACAACAACAACAACAACTTGGATCTATATAGCACCCTCCATGCCGGACGGCGTCTCAGAGTGCTTCACAGTAACGGATCCCAGGGCCGAGCCAGGGGAAGGGGGGAGCGTGGGGGGAGGGGGAGGAAGGTGACCAAAGGCGCAGTCGAAAAGAAAGGTCTTCAGCAGAGACCTGAAAATAGGAAGAGAGGGAGCGAGACGAAGGGAGTGAGGAAGGGAGTTCCAGAGCCTCGGGGCGTAGTGGCTGAAGGCACAGCCGCCGAGGGTGGAGCGGAGGACTCGGGGGATGAGGAGGAGGCCAGACCCGGAGGAACAAAGGCAACGGGTACTGTTTTGAGGAGAGAGGAGGTCAGAGAGGTCGGGGGGTGCAGAGGAGTGAAGGGATTTGAGGACAAGGGTGAGGATCTTGAAGGTTTGTGCCTAAAAGACCAAATAACAACAACGTCAACATATTAGATAGATTTCTGCCAGAAAATAATATCTGGGGATACAGTACAGAGTATGTTTCGCCTGCCCAATTCTTAAATTATAAATGACACTTGTCTAGCGCCTTTCACGTCCATGGCGCTGGACAGTCAGGGATTTAAAGGGATTTAAAAAAATAAAGCATCATTAAAAAATGATGCTAAGGGGAAAGGGACAGAGGCATTGTCCGAGTTGCCATGCTTCGGATGAGATGTGAAACATCTGCCTGTTCAGGTGGATAGACCCAAAGCTCTATCCCAAATGGGCAAAGAGATTCTCCTGGTGTCCTAACCCCAGCCAACAATCTCCCAGGTAAAATTGGTCATTTCATGGTTAGCTGTGGAATTCTGCTGGGTGCAAATGTGCTTCCAAAAAAGAAAAAAACACCCTCGCAATTTGATCGCTCCTTTCACATCACATGGCCCTTTCAAAGCGCTTCACGGGATTTGCTGTCACGTGGACCGACTGTATATTTTGTAGGTGAACCCAGCCACCAATTTGTGCACAGAAATGTCCTCCCCAAGCAGCTATGAAGTGAATGAGTGATTTTATCTAGGGATTGTCAGCCAGGACACCAGGAGAATACACAGTCACTACACCTAAGAGCAATCTCCAGTGAGATATTATTGGGGCGAGATCAAAAGCAGGGATTATTATCTGTATATATACATACACATTAAACTTAGTGGGACATTGCTGTTCGCAAACTAGCGTCCGCATTTGCCCACAAAACATACAGTGAAATACTTGGAGATGCCTCCATCATGTGCTCAGGTGCTGTATCAACTGCAAGGATTATTGTTATTCTGAATAATATTCTTATTATTAATAGTAATAAATAACCTTTTAAATCTTTACGTCGCAAACTGTAAACTTTTATTCTTTTCCACCAGATATTCAATAAGCTCTTCTTCAGTTTCTCCCGTCTGAGGAAATTACAGGGCAAATCTTCCTGCATCAGAGTGTTACTAAAAATAATTCCCCCTTTTACCAGCCTGTGGCTGAGACCTGAGACTTGAGTTCTCTGATGTAAGACAGAGCAACAGATACATTTGGTTTTGCAGGGAAACATCAACTGAGATCCCCTACTGACAAAAAAAAACACCTTGAAATGAGTAGGAGAGAGAGTGACACCAATTTAGTAGTGCTTATCTTACATGAATCCAAAAAAGACATGAGTTTCGTTATCTCCTGTTTCTGAAGCTTTTATAATCATTTTCAGTGCATTGTATTGTGCTGTATTGCGCGATCTGTGGCTGGACAGTCGCAGTAAGTCCTGTCGTGTAGTGGTTGGCGAGCTCGCCTCTTATAAGGCACTATATCAGATGCAATGATTATTATTATTATATTATTATCCGCTGCAGGGCATGTATACCAGACGGTGACCTCCAGAATCTCCCGCAATGTAAAGGGTGAAATTTTGGGGGAAAATAAAACCGAACTCAATAATAATAATCCTTGCATTCGATACTGCGCCTTATCATGTCATTGAGATGTCTCAAAGCGTTTCGTAGAATATCCTGTGACGTAGATTGATTGACTGTGTATTTTGTGGGAAAAATAAAAAATGCCTTTTTTTTAAGAAACTCTCCAATTAGTCATTTGCAACTTGTGCTGATTTATTTTAACTACCTGTTTGCTGGTGTGTTCTTTTACAATAAATCGGCGTCATGAAGAAAGCAGAATAGTCCAGCTTGTGTTGACAGGGGAAGACACTCTCAGCGGAGATTATGCAATGAGTTGCAAATAAAGAGGAACTTTGAGCTCAACATCACTCAGAGTGGGATCCAGAAGAGCAGAAATAGGAGGCAATCCAAAATAAACAGGGGTGATCCGGGGAAATCCTACCCGGTACCAGGTTTCCTTACAATCAAATACCATACAATAAATAACAGTCAGAAGGAGAAAGGATTCTAAAATCCCTTTCTCACTAAAACTAGCTCAGACTCACATCTTTACAAACGCATAGCCGTGGACTTTACGTTAAAACCAGCGTGTTCTGAGAAATCAGTCGTTTTCTGTGGGAAAGGCGAGTGGGGGAGGGGGGAATTGTCACGGGGGATTTTTGATGGGTGGAAGCAGAGTTGCAAGGAGTGAAAATAATAATAATAACTCCTCGCATTTGATATAGTGCTGTATCGCGTCTTCAAGACGTCTCAAAGCGCTTCACAGGATATACCGTAAAGCGAGCTGCCTGCGTATTTTGTGGGCGAAACGTGGCAGGCGTCCACATTGCTAAATACACTGAACAACTTTACTCTCTGTGACTTCTAGTGTATCTCTAAAGACACCTGGCTCAATGCGACAGTTCATTTACTACCTGAGTATAGCGCCTCTAGTCCCAGTGGCCTGTCCCCGTTTACTGCCCCCGGTTTGTCCGTTATCTTTTTATCAGTGAGACCTGATTTATTTCCTCATCTCAACCCCAAATGCAATCTCTGTGATGGAATCCCAGCTTTGGCTTCCTTTGAGGACCCTGAGCTGAACCCATCGTTGAGTAGATCCTCCCTTCTCTGTTCACTCCCATCTCGTCCTCCATTGAGACCTTTTAGCGTATCCACTGCCCACTGCAAGTCGAACACAGCAGAGGAGGGTTCCACTAAGCGATGCCTTTTGGATTAGATATTAAACCGAAATGTCTACCTGTTCAGGTGGACATTAAAGATCAATAAGAAAGGCAAGCAATCCCTCAGACAACATCAGTCGTTCACTTCATGGCAGTTTGTGGGACATTGTTGTGCGTAAATTTTCTACTGCGCTGCCTACAAATACACAGTTACTACTCTTGACAGGAATTTTCTCCTTTGAGACACTGTAGGCACGGTATCAAATAGGTGATCCTCCTGATGTGAGAAGTGTATCATATAACCAAATGCAAGGATCATCATTATTACTATTATTATAAGTAAGGAATATTTCCTGCAACCTTCAGCCCATGTTTCACTTTGCTCTCACCCGTCACCAGTCTCTTCAGCTCCCGAGAAAATCTCCCGACCCAAGGCAAAAGCAACATTGGTTTGTGTGTTACCTGGTCAACCGTACAGATCATTGCAACAACCATAAAACCACTCTGTGGCTGTCACCAGTGGTGGTGCACCGTGTGTTCCTCTTATGGAGGCAATCTCCATAAGAGGATGGATGGAGGCAATCTCCATACAACAACAACAACTTATATTTATATAGAGACCCTCACACAGGGTAGGGTCCCAGAGCTCTATACTAGGAGCGGTTTGAACCCTTCTAAAAGCTTTCTGTCAGTCTCGCCATTCAGGCGGACACCCTGCTAACACTACTTCAAAGCAACCTGGAGTCATTCTCCCAGTTTATCCTGATTTACGTCCACTCCTCATTCAAATTTTCACCCCCACCCCAAAAGAGGAGAGAGGATCTCTGTCTCAATGTCCTGGCTAACCATCTCCCAGTTCAAATTGGACATTCACTTCATGGCTGTTTACGGATCCCAAATTGGCCACTGTGTTCAGCTACAAAATGCACAGTCGTCGCACTTTACAATAAATAGAAAAGGAAAACGAAAATAAATAAATAGTTTCGTTCACAAAATATACAGTGAATCCACTTTACAATATGTTCTGTGAAGAGCTTTGCGACGTCTCAAAGACGTGATAAGGCGCCGTATCAAATGCAAGGATTATTAAAAGGAATCATTCTGAATGTAATATGTTTAATTAAATATTTGCCTTAGTTTTGATATACGTTTGCTTGAAGATATGAGTAGGTTCAAACAGCTGATTCCTGTATGTTACTTCAATCCACGGCTGTTTGTGGGGACGCTGCTGTGCGCAATTGGCTGCCACGTTTCGCCCATAAATATACAGTTCAATTCAATTCAATTCACTTTGCAGTATATTCTCTGACGAGCTTTGAGACGTCGAGAAGACATGATAAGGCGCTATATCAAATGCAAGGATTATTATTATACTGTAAAGCCATTTGGGATCTCCTATTGATGTGTAAATATTATTGTTGTTGTTTAAGGGATGTAGCTGTGGTAGATTGGTTAGGTAGGATGCTAAAACGACCCCCAAAATGTTCATTTCGCAGTAAAACGTGCTACATAAAAGCGAGTGACAAATGGTGAGCGTGACCTGCGATAGGTAGGCAAACATACTGGGGAGCCTGGTATCATTTTATGTTTGAATCAATAAACAATCTACAAATCAAACTGTGCGATTCTGAGAGACCTGAGGTATTGAAAACAAGAAGTAAAACTTGAGGTTTGGGGAAAATTTTAAAAATAATGACTTTCGTATGTGGGTTGAATGTTCTAATAAAAGCGAGGAGGCAACCCTCGGAATCAAAGCAAAGCCAGCAACCAGAGGGATCCACAGCTTTTACTCACACGCCAATCCGGGCAGAAAACGCAAAGCGAAGAAATCTTCGAACCTCAGACACCAGCTGCGAAGGTAAGGCGATGTAACAGTTCAGTGCTGGGCAAGTGATGGTCACGTCTGCCTGTGTCCTGGCGACTCTTCAGGATGGTATAAAGAAGTTCTTTAAGAGCAAACACGTTGATTGAGTAATTAAGTCATTAAATTAGGAAGGAGTGAGCTGGATATTCAAGAGGATTAACCAAACCTCACAAGTGGAGAATTCTCCGTAGCTAGCAAAGCGACCCATCTCAGGATGGGCAACAAGAGGCAAGTTTATCCAGGAACAGATTAGTATTGCGATGGGAAGGCGTGACCTGTTGGGAGCGAGCATCTTTCGATTGTGTTTGTCACTACGGCTCTATCTGCTGTTGTCCCCTGTGTGTTTGTAGATATCCCATCTCCCTCTGTAGACTAGAGAGCCCAGGTTTACCACTGACCACAGGGAGACCAAGTGTATGCTTGCGAAAAGGGTTTCTAAGAAAATCTGATTCAAAGTCCTTATAGTAAATTAGTCCTGATCCTTCAGATTGGAGATTTAAACCAACGGTGGAAACCATTGTCTTTGCAAAGCTAAGGAGCTCTGCGTGTTTATTCACTTGCAGGTGGGCAAGACCCACACTTTGTGTTTCTATTCAGAATGATTTCTTTCCTCTGGTCTCTTTGTTGGGAACTTTTCACTCCACAGTTCAGAGGCACCAATATATACAAAAAGATATTGTTGCTGTTGTTCCCCCCCTTTTCTCCTCGCTCTCTCTCATCCCCATCCCTCTCAGAGAGAGAAATCTGAACAAAATGGTGATGTTGGGCAAGTTTCATTACTCCACACGCCTCTGATTACCGAGCAGTAAGTAGGAACCCAGTTGTTAGTCGATTAGGGGATCGCTTTTCTGGGGGTAATGATCCTTCCAAAGAAATTATAATTTGGTCACTCAATCCATGACTGTTTGTGGGACGCTGCTGTGTGCAATTGGCTGCCGCATTTCAGCCACAAAAAATACAATCGATTCGCTTTACAGTATATTTGTGAAGGGCTTTGAGACGTCTCGAAGACGTGATAAGGCGCTGTAGCAAATGCAAGGATTATTATTATTATTTTTATGATGATGATGATGTGGCCTCTACTGAAATGATATATCAAGTGATTTGGTTTCTTACAGATTACACAATAATGGCCGTCTTCTTCTTACTTCTCCTGTCTCTCACTGAGCTGGTCCTCAGTGCTCCTACTGACCCCAACGCCCTCAACCTTTCCTTCCACCAGAGCCTGAATCTCTCCAGGAAAATCTTGCAGGATGTTCAACATCTGCTTCTGAAATACGTAAGAGTCGTCTATTTCTCTTCAATCCATTGTTAAAATGAAATGTTGAGGCACATGGTTTAAAGAAAATAAAGAGGCTAACACGTCACAAGATGAGGTTTAAAGGTGGTCCCTTCACACTGAAAGGCAGATGTCCATCAGATAGCCAATGAGGAAACTCTGAGGCTTAGGACATCAGCTGCCAGCAGGTGCTACCTGGAGTCCAGGTTCATGAACACATGTTCATATAGTACTTGGAATCCACCTTGATTGGTTTGCAAAGAGATAAATAGCTGGTGCTCAAACTCTGCACCTCCAACTGGTGGAATCATGGCTCGCTGGGAAGAGACACTTACTGACTACAAACCTGACCGTTGTTTAGTATTTATACGTAGGGTTTTGCATTTTGCTTTTCAGAAACAAGAGAAGATTGGAAACCCTTCTTTTGAAGATTATAACCTCATGTTGGGAAGTCTACCGTCCTGCCAGGTTGATTACAGGAGCTGGTTGGAACAACAGGTAACAAACAACTCACCCACTCACCCCTCGCCTCGCTCCCCCTCTCTCCCCTCTGCCCAATATCCCACGTATTCTCCACAACCTCCTGGGTACCAACCTAAAACCTATCTGCTCTCTGTTAGGATGAGGAGAGACTGCTGCTGAATTGTCGGGATCTCCAGGTGTTTTGGATGCACGTAGACACCAAACGGGTCCATGAGCTCGGGCAGAGCCAGGATTCAGCATTGCTGGAATCTATGGAAGCCATTTCGTTGGACCTCAGAGATCTGATATCTCAACTCAACTCCCAGGTACCCATTGAGCTGTGGATCTGATGTCAGGGCGCGGAGAGCTGGGATGTGTGGATGCAATTAATAAAAAGTAGTGGAATGTGTGAACTCTTCAAACCTAACCGAGGCCAAAAGATTAGCAAACTGGAGTCTTTGTTACCAACTGGTCTAAACTTCACACATCGTCCGGGCGCTTTGGAAAACAACAGCAAACAACGTTTGTATGGGGCCTTTCACGTCGGGAGGACGTCCCAAGGCACTGGACAGTCAGGGATTTGGCCCAAGCTGGGGCGGGGGTGGGGGGGAGGGATCAGGAGGGGTGGAGGACAGGGAGGATGGAAAAAGGAGAGGGAAGAAGGCGCAGTCGAAGAGGAAAGTCTTGAGAGGGAGGGGGAGCGGTGAAGGGCCTGTGGGATGGAAAAGAGGATCAAGAGTTGTGTCTTTTGGAAGAAACTTGCTTTGGTAGTTGTGCGTCTGATCATTCAGTGCCTGGATCCACGGTCTCTCTCTCTCTCTCCTGTGTTGCAGATCTCAGCCCTGAACGGTTCCTCTCCCGACACCTCGACCCTGACTCTCCCCAATGACGTGCTGAACCCACTGTACGACTGGCACAGCAGGTTGCAGGGTTACATCATCTTCAGAGACCTGGAGGTCTATCTGAACAAGGTGGTCCGGGACTTCACTGTCTTGAAGAAACACTGAGAAGGAATGAGGACGGGTGCACAATCCTATCAGTGTCACTGCCAATCGCTTCCTCCCCCCCCCCCCCCCCCAAAACCCCTCCACCATGATTCTTGTGGCTGTCTCCCTGAAGGTCACTCACTGATTTTTTTTCTGACCTCATGTGTTCACGGTGCTTACAGCTCTTGTGTTGAATTCCACTTGCTGCCCGAGCTGATTGTGATAAATTAATCTATTTAAAGATACGAGATATTATGTATCTGACATATTTATGAATTTTGTAACTAAATTATTTTATTTAAATAAACAGTTTGCATTTTATGTTCTGGATGACGAGTCTTGTTTTTTCGTAGCTTTGGTCTGGTTCAAACCCTCGTGTTTCAGTAGAGCCTGAAAGCTCTGTTGTCCCTCATCTCAGCTTTGCATTCGCCCACAAAATACGCAGTCACTTCACAGTATATCTTGTGACGCGCTTTGGGACGTCTCGAAGACCTGATAAGGTGCTGTATTAAATGCAAGGATTATTATGTCTTCTGACAGAACTGAATTTTTTTAAGCGTAAAGCCTCTGAGAAGAGATATACCAATGAAAACATCTCAAAGCGCTTCACAGGGAATTACTGTTTCAAACGCAGTTTTTCCACAGGAGATCCCATAAACAGCCATAGGGTGAATGAGCAATTTATTTGGGGGACTACTAGCTGGGACACTTGGAGAACCTCCCTTTTCTTTTCCAATCATGCTAAGTTTGCCTTCAAACACACAGTCATTACATTTCACATATGAAGAATTCTCAGTTTGGTTTGCATACTCTTAAGCACAGTGATGGATGGGTTTTGCAAGTATCAGACACCTGTCTGACCAAAGAAAACACCTCACACTAAAATTCCTGTGAAGTGCTTTGAGGCGTTTATGACGAAGTGATAAGGCATTTCATCAAACACAAGGATTGTTACTATGGTGTCACGGATTATAATAGGAGATTAATTCCAAGATCCATTTCCTATTCTAGATCTGGGGCTCAGTGTGTTAGGGACACACAAAGAGGAAGATGTTCCATCTGTCCTCTCATACCGTTGAGGCGATCAGACAGCAGTGTGTCCGTCAGAGGAAAGCCAAAGATTGTGGAAAGAGCACACCAGAGCTCACTGGTTTGAATCAAGCCATTCAGTATTAATCACATAATCCTGACATTTGATAGAGGATTTACTGTAAAGTGTAGTGATCGGGTACTTGTAGGCAAATGCAGCGGTCAGTTTAATCCGTGAAGTGAATGACCAATTTTATCTGGGGGAGAATAACTTTATGAGTAGGGCATTGAGATCTTTAACTTCACCTCTATCTTTGGTGTTGGTTGAATGACAATGGTGCACTCCCCCAGCACAGCACAGCGGGGTCAGTGTGGACTTCTGTGAGTTCAAAGACCCCAATGTGGGGGCTTGAACCCACAACCTTCAGGTTCAGAGGGTATAATGTTACCAACTGAGCCTGGCTACCTCCCAACGGGTCCAGGTAAAGCAAGTGGTTTCAGTGGGAGAAACTTACTTTCCCTTCACCAAGCCAAGCAAAGATCTCAAATCCTACACAGAACAGTCCAAAGGAAGTCTACAGGAAAAACATGAATGCTCAGTAACATGATACATATTTCTTTTCAAAAAGAAAACCGTGTGACTGATTACAAGCAATATGGAGATCGCCAGAGATACAGCGCAGAACGGAGAAGAAATTGGTTTAAAGATGTGAAAAAGGAAGTGAGAGAAGATGCGGGGTCAGGCTCTGCCCGGACACCAACAAATAAGTTATCGCTAGTGACAAAGGCAGAAGTTCTCGCGGTTAAATCTATTTTGCTGCTCTGGTTGGAAAGTGGCTGATGTCAACATCTTTTGTTTGGAACAAGATGGTTTCTGGACTTTCTCTCGGTGGGAAGTGTTGTTATTATTGATTAAGCAAAAACACCACTCGTTGATACAAAAATGTAAGAGGCAGTTTCGAGTGGTCAAAGGAAAAGACTCTTATATTTCAAAACAAAAATACATTTAAAAAATAATAATAATAATAATAATGGTAATAATTTGGTCACGCAATCAACAACTGTTTGTGGGACACTGCTGTGCGCAATTGGCTGCCGCATTCCGCCAATCGACTAACAACTGTGCTCCTACTTACTGCTGGATTAAACAGAGGTGTGGGGAGTAAGGAACCTTGCCTAAGGTTTCGCCCCGCTCAGGAATCGAACCCGGGTCCTCTCGCTTGCAAGACGAGTGTGATAAACACTACGCTACAGGACTTCGCGAAAAGGCGCAATATCCAACGCAAGGATCATTATTATAAATATGTTTATTATTATTATAATTTCGGCTCTTGTTGAGGTCTGTGATGTTTCTTTACCCAGGTTCCCTGCTGGTTTCAGATGAAAAGCCGGGGAAAAGTGTTCAGTCAAACCGCTTCCTGTGCGACGCGAGATGGTGACTCAATGTGAGACAGAATGGTGATTGAATTGAGTTGGGTGACGTTACTCTGCTCCAGTTTCGGGCACACATACCACACCACCCTGGCAAAACACCCAGTGCGGAGAGTCTCTGAGCTGCATCGATCTCAGTCTGGATATGAGCAGTAGATTCCAGGTCATTTCGAAGAGGAAGCGAAGAAACAGTTGAAATACCAGGGTCAGTGTATCAGCGTTTAATGTGAGATTCGGGAATATTAGGGGGGGTTTAACCGTTAATTTCACAGAGTGTTATTGCGACTGAAATATTGCAACTTCTGTTGCGACTAAAAACAGAAGTCGCCGGGAACACGAAAGGCCATCGACCCGAAACGTGAACTCACTTTCCTCTCTCTATTGATGCTGCCTGACCCGCTGAGCATTCCCAGCGACTTCTGTTATTTTATTATTATTATCCATTAGGGCTTTGGCTTGCAGGGTTAACGGGAGCTGAGTGGGAAAAGTCTGTGGCCCCAATTGACTGGTCGATGAGCCAGGTTGGGCTGGTCTGTCATCAGCAATGAATGCCCTGGAATACTGTGGCCCCTCCTGAAACCGAACTGCAGACCGTCACAGAGATTTGACTCAATCGCTGTTAGTGGGAAAGGGAGTGGGGGCGGGGTTCAGAAACAACAACAACAACAACAACAAGATTAAATTTGTATAGCGCCTTTCACGTCGGGAGGATGCCCCAAGGCGCTGGGCAGAGTACTTTCAGACCCGAGCTGGGGTCAGGGGGGGAGAAGGGAGGGGAGGGGAAGGGGGGTTGGCCGATGGCGTGGTCGGAGAGGAGGGTCTTGAGGCGGGACTTGAAGGAGGCTAAGGAGGGGGTGAGGCGGAGTGATTGGGGGAAGGAATTCCACAGGTTGGGGGCAGAGTGGCTGAAGGCTCTCCCACCAATAGTGGGGCGGGTGGGTTGGGGGACGTGGAGCGGGCCGGAGCCGGCTGAGCGGGCGGGTTGGTAGGGGGTTAGGAGGTCACAGAGGTAGGGTGGGGCGAGGCCAAGGAGGGCTTTGTAGGTGAGGACCAGGATCTTGAAGGATAAGGAGCCAATGGAGTCGGGCGAGAGTGGGGGAGATGGGGAGTTTGGTGCGGGAGAGGACACGAGCTGCAGAGTTCTGGATTATCTGCAGCCTGCGGAGGGAGGAGTTGGGAAGGCCGACAAGCCGGGCGTTTGCGCAGTCGAGCCTGGAGGTGATGAAGGCGTGAACAAGAAAAGCACGGACGCGAACCACTGGTAGGTGGTGTGAGGATACAGCCGCAGTACCCTGTGGACGCTGACCGGATTTTTACCAGTGACCCGCCGCCGCATGTTCGGTCAGCGTAAGATAATGTCACGAAAGTGGCTTGGGTTTCGGCGGTGAGCCGTCATGGCCACCAGGGGACGCCTGGTCCGAGCCGGGCGGGCATTAGGTTCACTTTAATTGAACAAGACTTTGTGTTTGTCAAAGTTACTGTCCGCCAGATCCCCAGTGAAACTCATCCCAACAATCCAACAAAGCAGCTCTGTGACTCCAGTACACAGCTCAGATCCAGTGTCCTCAAAGGGGAGCTTCTCCCCCTGTGTCCTGGCCCACAATCCAACACATAATAGTAATAATAATAATAATTAATAATAATAATAATTAATAACCCTTGCATTCGATATAGTGACTTGTCACATCTTTGCGACGTCTCAAAGCGCATCGCAGAAATAGACTGTGAAGCGTAGTGACCGTGTACGTTTTTTTTTTTGAAAGTTCAGCCGTTCGCCTCCCGGTGCGGTGATGATCACGGAGACCGTCTGAAATCGTCTTATTTTAAAACGTTACTGTGTCTAATTGTTTTCTCATTTCCTGACCACTTACGTGTTATCTGGGGGCCAATTCCACAGGCTGTCGTCCACCGATGTCCTGGGGTGAAAGCTGCAGCTTTCTCGACCGCACCATCGCACCATCGCACCATCGGGCCTGAAACTGCAACTTTACATCCGATACAGCATCCTTAACTTTGAAATATTGCAAAGTACGTCGCAGGGAATTGATGTAAACTGTGTGTTGCAGGCGGACGCCATTTGCGCGCAAGCGATAGTATAAAGCGGGCAACAAATTTCACCTGGGGGAGCATTGGCCAGGACACCAGGGGAAACTCCCTCTTCTTTTCCAATAGCTCCGCTGGATCTTTAATGTCCACCTGGCAGTTTGTCATCCTCTCTGAAAGCAGACACCTCGGCAATGCTCCTCTCAACCTAGAATCTCAATCTCGACTGTGAGCACAAAGCCCCCAATATTCGCCTGCAAAAATACACAGCCACTACCCTTCACACCATATCCCGTGAAGCGCTCTGAGAGGTGCTCCTGACGTCAAATGTCAGGATTATTATGATTATTACTGGCGGGCGTCCAGGGGTGGTGGGGAGCAGGTGGTGGGAGCGGGGAACCTTTTGCAGAGAGACTTGAAGCGCGGGAAAGAGATAATATTGAGAAAGCTAAGCCGGTGCTAGAGCAGTCAGAGATATTCGCTGGCGTCTCTAAACCTTGTTTGGAATAACACTGCTCGCAAGCGTGACCTAGAACAGCGAAACACAAGATAACACAGCAAGCGATCCAAGCTGAAGGCTTCTCTCTCGCTGCCGTGAGCCAGCAAAGCTCTGACACCAGGCAATGGACAGCGGGGGTGAGAGCTCACCTGGATCAGTCACTCACACTCTGGGTCAGGAGATCGGAAGGGGTTTGGTGGGGGGGGAGGCATGAGTTCAAGCCCCCATGTCGGGGGCTTTGAGCTCACAGGCCAGGCGATGCTCCAGCCAGTATTAAGGGGGAAGCGCTGCATTGGCGGAGGTGTTAAACCATGGTCCCGGTCTCACCTGCCAGGTGCAGGTTAAAGATGCCTTAACACTGTTGGAAAAGAGGAACAAATTTCTCCTGATGTCCTGGTCAATTATCCAACAGATAAATCAATCATTCACCTCGTGGGTGTTAGTGAGTGAGGTGTTGCCGTGTGCAAATTGTCCGGGGGATTTGCTTTTACGCAAAGTCACAACAGGGAGACGGCAAAGTTGCTGTGAGTCCTTTGAGAGGTTACGCTGACGATTACTTTCTGCGTGGGGAGGAGATCGATGTTATCTGGGGACTTGCTCTTTGTGTGTGAGTGTGGTTACACTCTGTGTGTGAGTACACTGTGTGCATGTGTGTGAGTACAGTGTGTGTGTGTGAGTGTGATAACACTGTGTGTGGGAGTACAGTGTGTGTGTGTGAGTGTGGTTACACTGTGCTGTGTGTGAGTGTGATAACACTGTGTGTGTGAGTACACTGTGTGTGTGTGAGTGTGGTCACACTGTGCTGTGTGTGAGTGTGATAACACTGTGTGTGTGAGTACACTGTGTGTGTGTGAGTGTGGTCACACTGTGCTGTGTGTGAGTGCGATAACACTGTGTGTGTGAGTACACTGTGTGAGTGTGAGTGTGGTCACACTGTGTGCGTGTGAGTGTGGTCACACTGTGTGAGTGTGGTGACACTGTATGAGTGTGAGTGTGGTCACACTGTGTGCGTGTGAGTGTGGTCACACTGTGTGAGTGTGAGTGTGGTGACACTGTGTGAGTGTGGTTACACGGCGCTGGAGCTGTGAATCTTTTAACCCACGGCCTCGATCCTCCTGCTGTGGATGGACCACTTCCCTTCAGCCGCTCTCTGCCTCATTACATTCTCTGGGAATAACAATCGTGTGCGAGAACCGCCTTTTGCTCAGATCTGCAAAACAGGTTCCGAGCTTCCTTCTCAATGTTCCTTTTCTTTCTCTCACTCTCACTCTCTCTCTCTTTCTCTCGCTCCCTCCCTCCCTCCGTGACACGACCCCCATGTGAAGGGCGCTATATAAATGCAAGTTGTTGTTGTTCCCTCTCTCTCTCTCTCTCTCTCCTTCAAACCTCAACGTAACTGGGAATAACCCACGGGATCAATAACATTGTGTGGGGTGGGGGTGGGGGGGGGTGGGGGGGGGGGAACAACAGCAAATCTTGAACATGTTTGTGGGTATCCACAGGGCCTGAGATCCGGGACATAGTTTAACATCGGATCCTGAAAAGCTGTAGATCCGGGGATATCCGAGAGCGGTGGATGCTCTGTGTGTGTGTGTGTGGGGGGGGGGGGGAGGGGGGGGTTGGGGGGGTGCGAGCGTGGGCTCTCGGGGTGTGTTGTGTGTTTGTATGCTCCCCAGGTGTGTGTGTTCCTCCCCAGGTGTGCTGTGTGTCTGTGCTCTGTGTGTGTCTGTGCTGTGTGTGTCTGTCTGTGCTGTGTGTGTCTGTCCGCGCTGTGTGTGTCTGCGCGGTGTGTGTGTCTGTCTGCGCTGTGTGTCTTCGCTGTGTGTGTGTCTGTCTGCGCTGTGTGTCTGTCTGTGCTGTGTGTCTGTCTATGCTGCGTGTGTCTGTGCTGTGTCCGTCTGTGCTGTGTGTGTGCGTGTGTGTCTGTGCTGTGTGTGTCTGTGCTGTGTATGTCTGTGCTGCGTCTGTGCTGTGTGTGTGTCTGTGCTGTGTCTGTGTGTCTGTGCTGTGTCTCTGTGCTGTGTCTATGTGACTGTCTGTGCTGTCTGTGTGTCTGTGTGTCTGTGCTGTGTCTGTGTGTCTGTCTGTGCTGTGTCTGTCTGTGTGTGTGTGTCTGTGTGTCTGTGCTGTGTGTGTGTGTCTGTGTGTCTGTGCTGTGTGTGTGTGTGTGTCTGTGTGTGTGTCTGTGTGTGTCTGTGTGTCTGTCTGTGTGTGTCTGTGTGTGTGTGTCTGTGTGTCTGTGCTGTGTGTGTGTGTGTGTCTGTGTGTCTGTCTGTGCTGTGTGTGTCTGTCTGTCTGTGTCTGTGCTGTGTGTGTGTGTGTCTGTCTGTGTGTCTGTGTGTGTGTCTGTGCTGTGTGTGTGTGTGTGTCTGTGTGTGTGTCTGTCTGTGCTGTGTGTGTGTGTCTGTGTGTCTGTCTGTGCTGTGTGTCTGTCTGTCTGTTTTTTTTTTGTGTTGTCTGTCTGTCTGTGTGTGTGTGTGTGTGTGGGATCTGTCCGATGCTGTAAACCCGAGTTGTTTTTCTCTCTCCCTCTGTCTCAGCCTCTTATATATATATCTCTCTCTCTGTGTGTCGCTGTGTCCATTGGTCGGAGTTTGTCGCTACCGCATCTTCCATTGGCGCTGGACCCGCTCCAGCAGCGATTCGAGGATTGCACATCACAGGGCAGAGAATTGGGAACCAAAGAGGGGAATAAAAAGCCGAGACGAAGGAGGGAGAGAAAGAGAGAGAGAGAGAGAGAACAGACACAGAGCATCCAACACCCAGCACCCAGCACCCAGCACCCAGCACCCAGCACCCAACACCCAGCCCCCCCCCCCCAACCCCACCCCCTCAGCCCCACTCTCTCCTCCAACACAGACAGCCGAGAGCTGAGAGAGGTGAGTGACACACATGGATGGATGGATGGGATGGGATGGGATGGGATGGATGATGGAGAGAGAGAGAGAGAGAGAGAGAGGGGGAGGGATGGGGGGAATGAGAAAGACAGAGAGAAAGAGAGAGACTTGCACTGCCACTGACGTTTCAATGCAGTGTGACCCTCTGCACAGTTGGGGGGGAGGGAGGGGGGAGGGGGGGAGAGGGGGAAATGAACCCCATCGCCTCTCCCTGGACACTGCCTTTGCAGCACAACATGGGATTTAATGCTTAAATATCAGACCATTTGTTTACGTTGATTCTGTTTGTGTTGAGATTGTGACATGAAAGTGAGAGCTGCCATCAGCTGTGCTGTGTCTTTACCTCTCCCCTCCCTCCCTCCCTCCCTCCCCTCCATCACCATCCCTCCCTCCCTCCATCACCATCCCTCCCCTCCCTCCATCACCATCCCTCCCTCCTCCCTCCATCACCATCCCTCCTCCCTCCCTCCCTCCATCACCATCCCTCCCTCCTCCCTCCATCACCATCCCCCTCCCTCCCTCCCTCACCATCCCTCCCTCACTCCCTCCCTCACCATCCCTCCCTCCTCCCTCCCTCACCATCCCTCCCTCCCTCCCTCCATCACCATCCCTCCCTCCCTCCCCATCACCATCCCTCCCTCCATCACCATCCCTCCCTCCCTCCATCACCATCCCTCCATCTCTCTCACTCTCTCTCTCTGAATATCTCTGTCTCGCTCCCTCTCCCATCCCCCTCTCTGCGAATCTTCCCCTCCCTCCCTCTCCCCTCCCTCCCTCTCCCTCTCTCCCTGTCTCTCTCTCCCTCTCCCCTCCCTCTCTCTCCCCCTCCCTCTCCCTCTCTCCCCGTCTCTCTCTCAGCTGTTCCCCACCTTTAATTGCTGTTTGGTGTTGGTGTGTTGTAGCGGAGAGGGAGAGGGAGAGGAGATGTTCAGCGCAGAGACAAAACACAGAAAGGGAAATGTGTGTGTGTGTATATCTATGTACAGTGTGTGGGTATATATGTACAGTGTGTGTATATATGTGTAGTGTGTGTGTATATATGTGTACAGTGTGTGGGTATATATGTGTACAGTGTGTGTATATATATGTGTAGTGTGTATATATATGTGTACAGTGTGTGTATATATGTGTAGTGTGTGTATATATATGTGTACAGTGTGTATGTATATATGTACTGTGTATATATATGTACTGTGTGTGTATATATATATGTACAGTGTGTGTATATATGTACTGTGTGTGTGTATATGTGTGTGTATATATATATATATGATAGGAGAAAACCAGGTAGAAAGGGAGTCAAGGCTGGGAGGTGGTTTGTGTGTGTGTGTGTGTGTGGGGGGGGTGGGGTGGGGGGGTGGGGGGTGTTCTCTGCCCAGGACAGTGATGGGGGGGGATTTGCTGCTGTTGATCCCCGCTTGTTGCCTGGTGTGCTGGGGTGGGGGCAGTGTAGCTCCGAGAAGCATTCAATAATTAACTGCGCTTTAAATGCAATGCGGCAAGTTGAGGGGACGGTGTGTGTGGGTGTGTATGTGTGAGGTGTATGGGGGGGGGAATGAGAGAGAGCCTTGCACTGTTGTGTGTGTGTGTGGGGGGATGGGGAGGGGTATGTGTGTGGGGGATGGGGAGGGGTGTGTGCGTGTGTGGGGGGGGGGGGTGGGAACCCAGAGATGAGGGTCCTGAGGCCAGACAGCTCTGAGCGTGACCTCGAATAGTCCCACCGTTTCCACCCCTTTATCTCCTGCCGTCGTTTGGCACAGTTTCTGCTGTAAAATGCACTCCAAACCATCTCTTCGACCGCGCCTTCGGTCTTCTTCGCACTCCCCCCCCCCCCCCTTTACCCCCAACCTACCCCCCCACCCCTGGCTGGTCTTAGCCCCCATCTCGGGTGCAAACCTTTCACTGTCCAACACCTTGGGACGTCCTCCCGATGTGAAAGGCGCTGTGTAATGGCACGTTGGTGTTGTTGAAACTGGACCGAAACCGGGAGCAATTGTAGGGTTTTCTGTACAGTTATTGCCCTGTGCATCAGGTGTTACCTTGTCCACTGGTACCCAGCGCGCTGTTGGCACTAACGGGGGATGGTTTAGTTGTTCCTCAACCAAATACATCTCCAACCCAAACGTCCTCCCTCTCCTCGTGTGTGGCGATTGCTGATCGGGATTAGTCGCCTGCTCAGCAGTCACTACACTTACACAGCTCACCGTGTGCCAAGAGCAGCGGGGCAATAATAATGTGATTTCATGCGTTTTATCCGTTTTGCCACAAAATACACAGTCCAAAAACTTTACAGTTTATTCTCTGAAGTGCTTTTAGACACTGACTTGATAAGGCGCTGTATCAAACGCAAGTATTATTATTATTATTATGATTAATATGCCATTCTTCGGATAAGGCGTTAAGAAGAGGCGTTAAGAAGAGATCCCACCTGACTGTTCAGGTGGATGTTAAAGATCCCATGGCGCTATTTGAAAAGAGAAGGGAATTTCTCTCTCCTGGTGTCCTGGCCAACAATCCCCTAAATAAAATTTGTCACTCACTCCACGGCTGTTTGCGGGATGCTGCTGTGCGCAACTGGCTGCCCGGGTTCACCCACAAAACACAGTCACTAGACGTTACGGTGTATCCTGTGAAGCACTTTGAGAGGTCTCAATGACGTGATCAGGCTCGATTATCAAATGCAAGGCTTCTTTATTAATTATTATTATCACGTTATCGGCATCTCAAAGTGCTTCACGGGAATTACCACTCGCAAGCGAGGGCAGCAGTCAATTTGCGCACAGCAACGTCCCACAAAGCGGCCACGTGGCTAATTTTATCCCGAGGATTGTCGGCCAGGACGCGGGGAGAAACTCCAGCCTCTTTTCCGCTTGTGCACCCGGGACCTTTAACAACTGCCCGAGGACAGGCACAGACGGTTTAACATTCTCGTCCCAAGGATGGCTTGACAGACAGCGTAGAGGGAGCTTTACCATGTTTATCACGGCCTGAACATGGCAGGAGTGAAATTCTAGCTAATATACACGGGTTTAGAGGGTAGAGTTTTACAAAGGACTTTTTACACCTTGTAGAACGTCGGTGAGGGTAAAGCCTGATCTGAACTTTGGGTTAATTCATCGACCAGGAATTGTTCGGAACCGGGCAAAGTCTGGGTACGAGGGAGACCTGATACAAATTCGCAAGTGAAGCAAATCTCAGAAATGAGTCAACAGTACAAGTCTCCTTGAACCTTAAACTGTAATATCAGCACTGTAGGCTATAAACTGCAATTAGTGGGAATCAGTAATTTAAATGAGCTGTAACTTTATGTCGCCTGCAAGTCTCTCTTCTCCAGTATCTGTCAGCCCGAGAGAGATTAGTGGGGAGATTTAGGGACGGGGGAGTATTGGAGAGATTACTGCCAGGGCATCGATGTGTACAGCATCTCAAGCTTTCTGGGACGCTATCCCGTGTGGGGGCCGCTATTATAAATGCAGGTTGTTGTTGTTGTTGTATCTCATTCCTTCCTTCCTGCAACATCTCATTAACTTCAAGTTAAAGGGAGGTCACGAGGGCAAGACATTGCCACTTTCAACAGCCTGTGTGGGCACCAGCCACGACACAGGTTAGAGACACAGTAAAGCTCCCTCTACACTGTGCGTCCACACTCCCAGGTCAGGGTTAGAGACACAGTAAAGCTCCTCTACACTGTGCGACCACACTCCCAGGTCAAGGTTAGAGACACAGTAAAGCTCTGTCTGTACTGGTCCTGGCGGGTGGGTCGGTAACCCGAGGACACAGATTTAAAATAGTTGTTAGAAGAAACAGAGGGGAGGAGAATTTTTTTCACACAGCGAGTTGTTGGGATCTGGAATGCATTGCCGAAAAGACTGGTGGAAGCCGATTCGATAACGGCTTTTAAGAAAGAAGTAGATAATTATTTGGGGACGACAAGTTTGCAGGACTGTGGGGAGAGAGCGGGGGGAGTGGGATTTAATTGGATAGCTTGTTTCAAAGAGCCGGCACAGAAAAGATGGGCCGAATGGCCTCCTTCTGTGCCGTATAATTCTATGATAACCTCAGAAAAAGTCTCCCCTGTGCACCATTGCGATATTTCCATCTCCCGCTCGGGCAGTGAGTTTGGCCTGGCTGACGCAGTGGATGTGAACGAAGGTTTAAACACGTCGTGTGACTGAGGGGAAGCTGTGGTCTGCATCAGTTCTCATTATGATGGGTTTCCGCAGAAATCTGCAGCAACGCGCATTCTGACACCCTGAAATAACACTTCAATCATGACTGGAGTTTGCATAACAAACTGAATCAAAGTGCTGGCGGGGATGATGTGTGGCAGCCAATTTTCACACAGCAACGTCCCACAAACAGCCACGGAGCGAGTGACCAATTTTATTTGGGGGATCGTTAGCCAGGACACCGGTGGGGGGGGAGAGAAATTCCTTTCTCTTTTCAAGGAGCGCCGTGGGATCTTTAACATCCTCCTGAACAGGCAGTTGGGACCTCGGTTTAGTGTCTCATCTGAAGCATTGCACTTCCGTTAATGTGTGCCACACCCACACACTCACACGCTCAGCAGGGCATTGGAGTGTCCGCCTCGCTCCATGACCCAAAGTGGGGCTTAATCTTGTAACCTTAGTAAAATCCTTGGCCTCCCGCTCTATCATTCAGTCTAATCTGGTCCTGAACAGCAATTCAAGAGGTTTAATGGGATGATGCTTCTTTCATTTTCTCTCTCTCTCTCGCCCTTTTATTATCTCTATCTTTCTTTCTCGAGTTTTTATCTCTCCCCCTCTCTCTCTCACTCTCTGAATTTCTTTCTTTCTGACTCTCACAATCTCTCTCTGACTCTTTCAGTCTCTCTCTCTCTCTCTCTCTCCCTCTCTGCACCAAATATGGTATCAACATTTACAAAGCCTCAACTCCTTGTTAACTCGGAGTCGCTACCCCCGGGTGAAGGGCGCCGTGTAAATGCAAGCTGTTGTTGTTGTCATAGACTCGCGTTGTCTCATTGCACTTGCAGCGGTTGTGCAAGTCTTCTTTCTGCCTCTTCTCCTCCCACCAACCAAAGCCATTTGTCAGTTGCTGAAGAAGGTTGTCTCTTGGCCAAGAATCCTCCAGATAGTCAGATTGATCATTCCTCTCCTGCCTGTCTGTGGGGCATCGCTGTGTGCAAATTGCCTCCGCCTTGTTCTACAAATTAGACGACAGTTCAGAGTAAATCCTGTGAAGGCCTTTGAGACATTTCAATTGTCGTAAGTGCTATAACAAATGCAAGGATTGTTATTACAGTAAAGTACAGATAACTCGACCCTGACTTAAACTTGTCACTACTGTACCACTTAAGTAATCATGCTGTCAATATTCCCGGCTGCATTTACTTATGTATTTATACACACGACTAACTCACCACTCCAGGTACTGGTCACTGAACCCTTTTCCCTTTGGTGTTGACCAGTTATCAAGATCCTCCTCTTCGGACACCCTCCTACCCCCCCCACCCTCCCTGACCTCCACGCCTCCCCAAGCCCCGGCTCGGGTCCAAATCCCTGACTGTCCAACACCTTGGGACGTCCTCCTGACGTGAAATGTGCTGTGTAAATGTAATTAGTGGCTGCTGTTGTTTTTGTTGTCGCAGGGCCATGTGCCGGGGGTCATGGGGGGGGAACAGAGGGGGAAAAAAAGGTAGCAGGAGATCATACGGGGAGGGAAACGGAGAGAAAAAGGAAGCAACGGGGTCAGCAAGCCAGAGCCTGGCGATCTCACACAGCATCTCCCCACCCCCCCACCACCCCTGGTCTGCAGAATGGGGAGGGATAGAGGGAGGAAATCCCCAAAAAGGAGAGGTGACGGTGTGGACGAGGGAGGGGTGGGGAGATGAAGGAGGTAGATTGAAAGTGAGCAGCACAGGCAGGGCAGACCTCCAGCTGTCCTGAGATCATTAAACGAAAGGTCACGGAGAAGTGGCCCCCAATAAAGCTTGTGAAATAAGACAATGATTGGAGCGTGGCATTGGGCTGTAACTGTCCATGTGCCCAGGGCAGAAATCTCCCAGCACACGCGCAGTCCCGGGCGCACACGCACACGCAGACGCACGAGTACATGCGTGCACACGCGCCAAACCAGGCCACTGCGGGGTGTTTACCCCAAGCTTGTTTCGAAAAAAATCGTGACCTTCAGACACCACTTCTCTCCCTCCCTCCCTCCCTCTCCCTCCCCTCTTCACGGAAAGATTCCACCACCGTCGCCTTATGGAAGCCAAAACTCCCAGCAGCGGATAAAAGCTAACGAGAGCAAGTGTCTGAGCTGCATCTTGTGCCGTTACTAATAAGGCCACTTCGCCTCTCAGTTTGGCTTCCTGCCTCCGAGCATCAACCCCAATTATAGATCCTGGAACATTCGTCTGTTCTCCCTGCACTGGTCGGAGCAGAGTGAATAACATTTAGCAGAAGCGTCTTAGCTGAGTTAAGCATTTACTAGTGAAGTGCGTTCCAAGCATAGCCTAGACTTGTTTTTCCTTGTGCTACTTTCCTCTCCTCCTCGTCCTCGTCTGACAGCTCCCCAGGCTCCCTCTCCCTCTCCCTCTCCCAATGGTTCCAGAATGTACCCAGTTCAAGGAATTCGCTGCACGGAAAGAGACAAATTCGATTCAGTCAAGCCAAACCTGCTGCCAAATCAATCTCCACCACAGCTATCGTCAACAAGGGCAGCTCGCACTTACACATCCCCTTTCGCACCGTAAATGTACCGTTAATAAGAGTCCTCGCGTTCGATACGGCGCTTTATCACGTCTTCGAGGCGTCTCAAAGCGCTTCGCAGAACGGATTGCGAAGCGGAGTGTGTGTTTTGTGGGCCAAACGCGGCGGCCAATTGCGCACGGCAAACGGTCGTGGATTGAGGGACTCAAGTTTTTTTCGGAGATGGTTGTGGGGGGGGGAAAAGGGCGAGGGGAAGGGATTATTACCCCCGGAAAATGATCCACCGATCGACTAACAACCGGGTTCGTCCTGCCGAACCCAGGTCCTCTCACTCTCTTGCCAGGTGAATGCCCTAACCAATACTCTACAGAAATGCACGGATAACAACAACAGCTTGCATTTACGCGGGGTAGTGTCCCGGAACGCTTGTATGATTGCACTTGCTCGGGTAGGGGGTGGGAAAGCGCTGATCTCTAAACTCACCCGTGTCTCTGCGTTGACAGGTTTTTCCGCAGAGCAGCCCAGCCGTCTCCTGGATCATCGCTCGCCATGGCTCCCACGTTGGCCACCGCTCACAGGCGACGATGGTGGATGGCCTGCACGGCCGTGTTGGAAAACCTGCTCTTCTCCGCCGTGCTGCTGGGCTGGGGCTCGCTGCTCCTCATGTTGAAGTCCGAGGGCTTCTACTCTTACCTCTGCGTGGACCCGGGTGAGGAGACCTGCTCAGCATCGTCACCATCGCTTCACTCAATCCAACCGCAACAAACAGCCACTTACATTTACAACGACAAGTGATACTTACACAGCGCCTTTCACGTCGGGAGGACGTCCCAAGGCGCTGGACGAGTCAGGGATTTGGACCCGAGCAGGGGGTTAGGATCGGGTGGGGTGGGGGGTGTGGAGGGCAGGGAGGGTAGGGGTAGGAGGATGGCCGAAGGCGCGATCGAAGAGGAGGGTCTTGAACAGTGCCCTTCACAAGGTGCCATCCTCAGCAGATCCTGGGACTGCCCTTTGCCCGGGATCCTGTTGTGCTGGGAGCCTGTTGATATCCACACAAGCCTTCACTTCAAGGAAGACATTGTGAAAGTAACTCAGTGCGGCAATCAGTGCTGACATGCTTAATTTCAGCATTTTGGCAAGTTCTTATCTCACTCAGTACTTTACATACTCAGCACTCACTCAGGTCATCAGAGCCACCTTTGCCCTGGGCTTGGTGTTCGAGGCTTGAGGTACAAGTCCCAGCTCAAGGGCAGCTCAGATACACAGCGGCCAATGTAAAGGGCGGGTTTCAGCATCGCAGGGGGTATCAAGTAACCCTTTAGCTCTCGCGCTGACTTTCACATCTCTCAGGAGCAGGAACGCAACAGATGCTCAGTCGGTCACTGACTTGTGAGTTGTGAAAGGTTGCGAGTTTAGGCAAGTCCCACGTCACGTCAGGACATCAATAATTTGGTCAATTCGCTTTTCGGTATATTCTGTGAAGCGCTTTGAGGTATCTCAGCGACGTGATGAGGCGCTGTATCACATGCGAGGATTATTTTTATTATTATCTCCCTCTTTTCGCATCGGCTTTCTTTCCCTCCTGTCACAATGTCTCTTTCTTTTCTGTCGACTCTTTCCGTTCCTTCCTCTCTTTGTGTCCCCGCTTCCTCTTTCTCTTCGCGTATCTGTCTGGAGAGCTCAGGAAAACTGTTCTGCAAGAGAGACGCCTTCGGTGACAAGAGCTTTGCTTGAACTGCTCATCCCTGGGTGACGTTCCGTAACCTGTCATGACATTCCCAGTGACCCAATAACCTTCATCGCATTCTATTCCTCACACACATCGTCGCCATCAACCAGACCTGTTTTGAATAAACCACTGGTTTTGTTTAGTACGTTGAGGTGTATATATTGTACACCTTGTGTGACTGCGACACTGGCCATCCTGCTTGTTTCTGGAACACTTTCTGTCCCGTTGAGTGACAAAAATTATTATTGTGTGATCATAATAATAATCCTTACATACGCGATTGAAGGAAAGTAAATTCAGAACCAATCTGCGGAAACACTGCTTCAGTGAGCGAGGAATAGATTTATGGGACAGGCTCCCTAGGGAGACGGACCTTGGAAGCAGAGAATGTTGTTTGTTTCAAGAACGAGCGAGATAGATTTCTGCTGGAAAATAATATCTCGGGAAGACAGTACGTAGTTGGGGACACGACATGTCAAGCGACTGCCAGGATGGTGGCAGGGGAACGGGATGGGCCTTGGTCTTCTTTCGCCAGCAAATCCTTATGTCCTTACGAGGCATCTTTAATGTCAGGAAGGTGTCTCAAAAGAGCTTCCCAGTAAAGTGTAGTGACTGTATTTTGTAGGCGAATGCAGACAGTTTGGACACAGCATTGTCCAATATCCCACAAACAGCCATAAACTGAATGATTCATTTTATTTGTGGGGATTGTTGGCCAGGACACCGGGAGAGAGAAACTCCCTTGTCGTTTCGAATAGCACCACGGGATCTTTAACGTCCGCCTGAACAGGCCGACGAGACCCCGGTTTAACACCTCAAGCGAAGGACGGCCCTCACGATAATTCAGCGCTGTTGCATCAGACCAGGATGTTAGTTCAATGCCCCGACGTGACATGGGGCTTCAACTTACAACAATGTGGCCCAGAGGGGAGACAGAGCCTGAGCCAGACCGACACCTACTTTGTGTGTTTCTGGGTGTGTGTGCGTCTATGTGTGTGTGTGTGTGTGTGTGTGAGAGCATGTCGGGGGTGTGTGTGTTTGCGTGTGTGTTGTGTGTTTCTGGGTGTGTGTGCGTCTGTGTGTGTGTGTGTGTGTGTGAGAGCATGTCCGGGGTGTGTGTGTGTGTGTTTGCGTGTGTGTTGTGTGTTTCTGGGTGTGTGTGTGTCTATGTGTGTGTGTGTGTGTGAGCATGTCGGGGGTGTGTGTGTGTTTGCGTGTGTGTGTGTGTGTGTGTGAGAGCGTGTCGGGGGTGTGTGTGTGTGTGTTTGCGTGTGTGTTGTGTGTTTCTGGGTGTGTGTGCATCTATGTGTGTGTGTGAGAGCGTGTCGGGGGTGTGTGTGTGTGTGTGTTTGCGTGTGTGTTGTGTGTTTCTGGGTGTGTGTGCATCTGTGTGTGTGAGTGTGTCGGGGGGGGGGGGTGTGGGGTTGTGTGTGAGCGTGTAAGGTGGTCCCCGCCCAGTGCGATCAGCCCCGACCCTGAGCAGTCGATGGCTCGAGTCCTCACTCCTCTCCCGTTCTCCCTCACCATCGCTTGTTGTCTTGTCCCTATTTATACCAGTTGCCGCAGTAACGGGTCTGCACAGAGCCGGTACTCACAGCGCAGTGCTCATCTAAACACAAACCGCCTCCAAGCCATTTTACAAACTCTTTTAACTGCCGAGGAATTAAGTGAAGCAAACCCCGGCTTCTAATCTCCGCTGGTAAACAACAGTCAGACGAGGATCTGGGGATGAATTGGGGTGACTTGGAGGGAGGGGGGGGGGGGTGGGGGGCGGTAAATTTAGACCGGTACAGGGTGCGGCAGCTGTCTGCCAGCCTCCGCTACTCGATCCACGTGCCCTGAACTCACAGCAAGAAACCCAAACTCTCCCAAGATGTTCGCTGCAATCTCTTGTCTTAGGACCAGCCCCGTCTCTCTCTATCTGCTCGAGGGAGGGACTGGGTTGGTTGGTATCGAGTGTTGACTGACCCACTTTTTTCCGATGGCATCGTGCCCAGATCAGGGCTGACGACGACCGACACTCCTGGCATCCAATTACCTTATGCAACTTGCTTTTCTCTGCTGATCTTGTCTCTCCCTCGCTTGCCCCCTAACACTCCCCCCACCGCCCCCCGGGGTCAGGCTCCAGGCTCCACGCTGAGCGCGCTGTCCAGGCTGGAATTGTTGGCAGTGCCAGCGTTCGGGTGTGACAATCTGGAGGGACATTTGGACTCACTCTGACTTTGATCCACACCCTCACCCCCCCACTCGTCCCCCTGACACTCCCCCCCCCCGCCCTCCCCCTCACTCCCCTGATGCCAATCAGGTGGATATTCCTCTGCCCGAGTGAGCTCTTGTCGCTGTTGTTGTCGCTGTTATCGTTGCAGCGCCTTGGGACGTCCTCCCGACGTGAAAGGCGCTGCACACGTGTACGCTGCTGCTGCTGTTGTCTCGGCCGAGGTGGGGTTGGTCACTGGGACCGGTTGATGAGACGAGTTGTTTTTATTCTGAACGAGAAAAACAGGAGAATTCACCTCAATCATCAGCCGACACAGTGTGTGGTGCGTGTGCGTGCGCGCGTGGGGTGGGGGTGGGGGTGGGGGGGGTCATTCACTCACGCGCACAGATAATGCTCCCCCATCCCCCACACTTGTGGTTGCTGTGTGAGGTGGGCGGGATGGGGGGGGCTCGGGGGGCACTTGCCGGGAGGGAGGGGGTAGATTTGCCTTATATTGAGGGTGTGGTTGTGTGTTGCTCAGCTCATATTGACTTGGTGTCTGGGAACAAACGGGACAGGACAGGATGTTCAGTTATTTCCGGGCCTGGGGCAGCCCCCGCCAATTCCCCCCCCCGCCCCCCCCGCCCCCCCCGCCCGGCTCTGAACTTTCTGGCTGATCCTGTTTTCTCTTGTTTTCCTGCAATGTTCCGAAGCTGTTTGTCTGACAGTAACCTTTCACCCACTTTCATGTTTCCCGTCACATCTTATTCTCACTCACGCCCCACAGCTTGGACTGGCACTTTTGGGGGGGGGGTGGTGGGGGGGCGGAGGGGAGAGACATCAGGGAGGGGCAATGGGAGGGATGGGGTGCGGGTATGTGGGGGGGGGGGGCAGGGAGAGGCGTGAGGTGGGGCGAAGACTCAACGGGGAGGCTGAGATGTTGTGTCTCGGTCGTGCTAACCCCCAACACCCTCGTCTGCCTGACCCAGAGAGCGGTGACAATCGTAATAATAATGACTGAAATAGTCGTGCAAATAGCGCAAAATCAGCCCCTTACAGGGTTAGAGAGAGCTGCGTAAAGGCCAGGTGGGTGGGTGGGTGGGTGGAGGGTGGGTGGGTGGGTGGGTGGGTGGGGGGGTGGAGGGTGGGAGGGCTGGGGTGAGGGTGTTGAGGCTGAGCTCGGTGCAGTGTTTACACCCCAAATGCCATCGTCGCGGAGCTATTTATGGCGACTGGACGGGACGAGGTTTCACAGCACGTCAACAAGTCACACTCTGTTCCCCTTAAACCTTTACCAGCGCCTCGATCAGATCAGCAAAAGCTCAGAAATAATTCCTGGTGCCTGTTCCCCGTGCAGCCCTGACCCGAGCGCTGCGTCTCACGACCCCCCAACGGCGCCTCGAGAACAGCTCCCAGCGCTTCACACGCTTATTGTGGCGTTAGTGACTGTGCTGTGGGCGACCACGGCAGCCAATGCATACACAGTCCGGCGCAGCTCTCTCTTATGTCCGTTCTCTTCCCGCCTGTTTAGGGAACGCGACGAACGGGAGCCTGCACGGTGCGAACGAAACGCAGGAGGTGATGATCATGGTGAACAACTGGCTGGTGTGTAAGGACCAGGATGAGATGCTGAACCTGGCCTTCACGGTGGGCTCCTTCCTCCTCAGCGCCATCTCCCTGCCACTCGGCATCGCCATGGACAAATACGGCCCCCGTAAACTCCGGCTCATCGGCAGGTCAGACGGCGGCCGGGGCGCGAGAAGGGAGAGGGGAGGGACTGGGGCGCGAGAGGGGAGAGGGGAGGGACTGGGGCGCGAGAGGGGAGAGGGGAGGGACTGGGGTGCGAGAGGGGAGAGGGGAGGGACTGGGGCGCGAGAGGGGAGAGGGGAGGGACTGGGGCGCGAGAGGGGAGAGGGGAGGGACTGGGGCACAACAGGGGAGGGAGTGTGTGGGACTGGGGTGGGGTGGGGGCGAGGTAGGAGGGATGGGATGGGGAGATAGTGAGCGGCTGTGTTTGGGGCCAGGCCTCTCTCTCTCTCTCTCTCTCTCTCGCTCTCTCTCTCTCGCTCACTCCGTGATGCTCGATCCTGACTCATCCTCATCTGTTACAGCACCTGCTTTGCACTGTCCTGTCTGCTGATCGCGTATGGAGCCAGTAACCCCAACTGTGAGTATCCTCTCTGTCCCCTCCCTCCCTCTCTCTCTCTCTCTCCATCTCTCTCTCGGCGCATTCTTCCGTGTCGCTGGAGCTCGCTCTGACTCTGACTCTTGTTTTTTTCCCCCCTCCCCCCCCCCCCCCCACAGCCCTCTCTGTCCTCATCTTCTTCGCGCTCTCGCTGAATGGGTACGGAGGGATGTGCATGACCTTCACCTCGCTGACGGTAAGAGGACACGGGGACAGTATCAAGTCTGTTCCACCAATGGCTTAGACCTCGCCACGATCTTTATAATGCCAATGCCCAACCCTTTGCCACACTCCACTGGGCCTCTGTGTGTCTTCCCCCCCCACCCCCCCCCCCACCACCCCATCTCTGTCCGTTCCTTGTGTTATGTGTCACTTCAGCATCCGCAGTTCCCGGAGCTTCTTTCCACATCTTGACCAGCCGGTGTGTGAGGAATCGTTCCCCTGACCTCAGCTCTCACTGTCCTGGCACGGAGGTTTAAGGGCAGAGTGGTCCAATCTCTTCCCCAATCCCTACCCAGTCTCTCATTGCGGGGAAAGTGTTGTTGCTCCGGCGAAAGGAGCGTACGCAAACACTCTCACTCGCTCACACTCCTTCGCCCACACACACCCATACATGGACACACACACACACGCACACACACCCACTCTCCCAGCTGTGTGTGACGGTGCTGGGCAAGCTGCTTCTCTCTGTAGTGGGGTGGGCGATGGATGGAAGCCAGTGGGGTGGGGTGGGGGGGCAATGGAGGAGAGTGTGGGGGGGATGTTGACACAGCTAGTCCCTGATATCTCAGCCATTAGCCGAGCGCAGATGGCACCGGCCTGGACTGTAAACACACTCGCTGGCCACAGAGTGCTTTCCACATCATTAACTGCCTCTGTTTTCTCAAAGTGTCTACAGTGGAAAATTCTGTCATTGCTTTCTCAGCATTTTCCCTTACCCCCCCCCACCCCACCCCCACCCCCACCGCTGACAATGTCTCTGCTCTTGGCTCACACTCCTCCCCGAGCTGGTTGAGGGTCTGGCCCACCCCCCCCCACCAATAGCCGCACACACTCTCGAGCACACACACCCGTTCGCCCTCGCTGGGCGACACACACACCCTCTCAGTCACACTCTCACTCACTCACTCACTTACACACGCACGCACACACACACGCTCATTGAGGCGTCTCAAAGCGCTTCACAGGATACACTTGTCAAGTGGGTTGACTGTATATTTTGTGGGCGAAACGAGGCAGCCAACTGCGCACAGCGGCCTCCCCACAAACAGTCGCGGATTTATACGTAGATTAACTGGGAGTGAATTAAAGATGGGGTTTTAATTAGTGATAAGGAGCTGGTGTCCCTGAGCGGGCGAGGGAGGGAGGGAGGGGGGGAGGGAGGGCTCACATTCCTACCGGGCTGTATTGAGAGGCCACACGGGTGCTGATAGCACGCACTCCCAGCCATTTCACTGTTTACTGTAAACCCACCCTCCCCTCCCGGTGTCAAATACAAATCGTTCCAGCCTCCCGACATGAAAACATGTGTACATAACAAGACGTCTTATGAAACTCCAACCTTTCACAAGATGTGACCTGACACTGAAACTTTGCCTCTGACTCACTCACTCACTCACTCGCTCACTCGCTCACACTCACACACACTCACAAAAACACACACACTCACACAAACTCATACACACACACGTACACACACACACACACACACAGGAGTGAGTTGCTGGCTGGAGTCTAACCCCAGGGTTTATCGTAATAAACTGGCACAACTCCAGCACACTCAGACCCAGACGCAATCACGGAGGTGGGGGGGGGGGGAAGAAATTCAATCAGAGTTCACATTAACTCTATTGATGTATCAATTTACCGAATTCTTAAGAGGCTGACGTCATTTTGAAGCTGTTTTCCTGTTAAGTTCTTTCAAGTCAGGAGGCTGTGTGTGCAAATTGGCTGCTGGCTTTATCTGCCATATTACGCAGTCACTGCGCTGGACACAGCAGTCCCTGAGAGATGGTTTCGGATGTTGCGGTTCGAACACAAAGATGATTATAATCCAGGTTCCGTGTAAAAGAGACAAAAAAAAGGAAAAAATTCCTGGGACGGTCTGACAGGCAGATACTGTAACCTCAGCCCCACGGCTCAGCATCGAGTGTCAGCGGAGTGTGAGGGAGGGAGGGACTGAGTGAGCGAGTGTGAGTTGGGGCGAGTGAGTGTGGCCGAGGGGGGCAGGTGCCGTAGGGAGCGGCGGTGTGTTTGAGCGCTGAGATGGCTACAGACACATCGCTGTATTTGCTGACGCAAGACATCTTCCTCTTTCAGCCGGTCTTAGACTGTGACACGTCTGGAGAAACCTCGACTCAGTCCCTCGTGGCTTTTTAACCCTTCTCTGGTGACGACTTCCGTGTCTGTTATGCCAACCGCTCCCCTCTCTCCCCTGCCCCGTCACCCTGGGTTTCCAGGGAGCAGGGCAGGATCGTTGGCTGGGTGTGTCACCATTTGGTAGGGGAATGTCGGGGGTTAAGTACGCGGCTGCTTTCGGGATGGCTGTCATGTGAGCCTGGTCTCGTCGGGGTTAACTTTGCCAGAGTGGAGTCCCGTCGCTTAGTGGTTAGAGCGCTCTCGCCTCGCAAGCGAGGGGACCCGGGTTCGATTCCCGGGCTGGGCGACACGTTACTCCACACGCCTCTGCGAGTAGAAACCCGGGTGTTAGTCGATTGGCCGATCGCTTTTTGTGGGTGGGGGGTGGGGGGTGGGGGGGTAATAATCCCTCCGAAAAAAAAAAAAGCGGTCATTCAATCCACGAGTGTTTGTGGGGACTCTGCTGTGCGCAATTTCGCCCACAAAAATATAGCGTCAATTCACTTTACAGCGTATCCTGCGAAGCGCTTTGAGACGTCTCGATGGCGTGATCAGGCGCTGTCTCAAATGCCAGGATTATTATTATGATTATTATGATTATTATTATTATAGTCCCTGCTCAGCACAGACTAACAGAGGGTGGGGGGGGGCAAAACAACTGAGTCAGGAGTGTTAGTCAGTCGGCAATTACACCCAGTGACTGGGCTGAGCGAGCGAGTGGTGTGTGCGTGTGTGTGTGCGTGTGTGTGTGTGTGTGTGTGTGTGAGAGTGTGACTGTGCAGTAAAGTGCCTGCTCAGCACTATAGTGAGATAAATAAGGAGCTGGCGGGGAGGGCACGCTCCGGGCTCTCGCACACTTACATTTCTCTCTCCGTCCTCATGGCAACTGCAAAGCGTTTCGAACTATTCCGACTGATCACTGAGATAGTTTCCTGGCGACGGCACTTTCCGTAAATCATTCGCCACCTTCAGCCAAACCATCGACCGCATCCCGCCGTTAACTCCGTCGCTGCCGAGTCCATCTGGGCACGGTGAACTCACACTCCCCACCGCTCCCCACCGCCCCCCCCCCCGCCCCACCGCCCCTCTCTCTCCTCGCACTCGCTCACAAACAAACGCTCACTCTCTCTTACACGCTCACTTATACTCTCTTACGCACGCACACTCTTGCTCTCGCGCGCCCGCGCTAACTCCTACCACTTTCGCCCCTGAGTCGGAAGGTTGTGGGTTCGAGCCCCCGCATTGCAGTGCTGGGGTGGGGTGGGGTGGGGGTGGTGGGAGGGGGCACTGCATTGTCCAAAGTACCGTCCTTCAGATGAGATGTTAACCCGAGGTTCCATCTGCCTGTTCAGGTGGACGTCAAAGATCCCGTGGCGCTATTCTCTATCGCGGTGTCTCTGGCCAACACTGAGCTCCCTCTCCCGCTCCCTTGAATGACCCCTGGTTCCAATCACTCTCTCTTTCTCTCTCTCTCTCTCTCTCTCTCTCTTTGGCAGTTGCCCAACATGTTCGGGGATCTGAGATCCACCTTCATCTCTCTGATGATTGGCTCGTACGCCTCATCTGCAGTCACCTTTCCTGGCATCAAGGTGAGAGGCTATCAGGGAGGTGGGGGGGGGGGGGGGGTGGGGGGGTGTCAAGCGACCTGTCAAGTGGACCACCGGATGGTGGAAGGCAAATTGGATGGACCTTGGTCTTCTTTCGTCCAGCGGTTCGTGTGCTCGGTGTCGGGTTGGCTATTGAGCACGATGTGACTGTGATTGACGGTGTGACTGTGATTGACAGGTCATCTATGATTTCGGAGTTCCCTTCATCACCATCCTCCTGGTGTGGGCGGCCTGCGCTGGCCTCGTCTTCCTCAACTGCTTACTCAACTGGCCACTCGAGCCCTTCCCCGGGCCTGAGGACATGGACTACACGTGAGTCAGTCATCACCGTGGGGGGCAAGCCAGGGGGACGTCTCTCTCCTCGCCCTCCTCTCTCTCTCTCTCTCCTCTTTCTCCCCGCTTTCTCCCCTTTCCTCTCATTCTTTCTCCTTTCTCTTGTCTCATTCTCTCTCCCTCTCTCTCTTGCTCTCTCTCTTGCCCCCTCTTTATCTTTCCTTTCTCTCCTCTCATCCTTCTCTCCCGTCTCTCTGTATCGGCCCCGCTCTCTCTCTCTCTCTCTCTCTCCCCGCTATTTCATTCTCCCTCTCCCTCCTCTCTCGGTCTCGCTTTATTTCCCCTCTCCCTCTCTCCCTGCGGTGGGCAGCGTGAAGATCAAGTTTAGTTGGCTGGGCTTCGATCACAAGATCACGGGGAAGCAGTTCTATAACCAGGTGACCACAGTGGGCAGGCGGCTGAGTGTCAGCAACGCCAACAAACCCCAACTCAAACTACACGGCCAGGACGACAACAAGCTCTGCCTGTCCACCATGGACCTGGAGGTCAAGTGCCAGGGAAAGGACGATGGTAAGAGCCCCTCCCTCTGCGTCGGCCCCCCACGCTCACTTATACTCTCTTACACACGCACACTCTCGCTCTCACGCCCCCACTCGCCTCGTCCTCAGCCCTTGTCCCTGTCCCGCCCCCTCCCCATTCCCCAAACGCCTGCTCCCACCGATGCTCTCAGGGTCTAAACCCCTTCACCGTCTCTGTGTGCCCCCCTCAGTGCCCTTCCTCTTGGCTGTGTGCCCGCCCCCCCCCCCCACCACCCCCACCCAGTGCCCGGTGCCTGATGACCTGCCCCCGTCTCTCTTCGCAGCTGCTAATTCCTCGTTTATGAAGAGTGTTTGCAGCCCCATCTACATCCTGAGCCTGGTCACCATGTGTGTGACCCAGCTCCGCTTGATCTTCTACATGGGCGCCATGAACAACATCCTGGAGTACCTGGTGGATGGGGACCTGATGACAGGTCAGTGTCTCCCGGTTCTCTCTCCCCTTTATAACCAGCTTCGCCGTCCACACGGTCTGGAGGCCCCCACCATCTAAAGCCCATCAAACCTTGTGGCGAGGTGTGAGTCACTGTTCGTAGCAACCGATCTGCGGACGGTAACGTTCCCCCTAAACAGCCGCGTGACTGTTCGCCGAGAGGGCGAGAGTTTAAGGCTCCGAGTCAAACCGTGTTCCTGTAAAGTGACTGTGTATTTTGTAGGTAAACGTGGCAGCCAGTTTGCACGCAACAGCCATGGAGGGAGTGACCAATTTTATCTGGGGGATTGTTGGCCAGGGACACCGGGGAAGAGAGAGAGTAACTCTCTTCTCTTTTCCAATCGCGCCGCGGGATCTTTAACTCGGTTGTAACGTCTTATCCCGATGCGGGGCTTGAGCCCACAAACTTCTGACTCGGAGGCGAGAGTTGTTAGCGACTCAAAGGCGCTTCACGAAAGACACTGAACCCGAGCGAACTCACTGCGCGTTTGGTGGGCGAAAGGTACGCAATCCCACCGCAAAAAAACACACCGTACAATTCCTCTCCGACCCTCCCCCTCTCCCCACCGTCGGCACAATGTGGGTGGTTGTGTGGGTGGGAGGGGAGTGGGGGGGGGTGGGGGCGAGGATGTTGGGTGGGGGGGGGGGGGGGGATCCCAGCGAGTGCGATCTGACGACTGGTACAGCCTGTCTCTCCGCTGCTCGGGCCGCGCCGGGCTCAGGCAGTGACGGAGTGGGCTACACATGACTGAAGACAACTGGTTCTGTCTGGTGCTGAGGGCTGTCAGCAGCTCAGAGCTGCTAAAGTCAGCAGCTGGGTTTCAAGGAAATGTTTTCGAGTCTGACTGGGAGAAGCTGCGTGCGTGTGTGCGTGCGTGTGTGTGTGAGAGAGAGAGAGGCGGGGTATGTGCGCGAGAGAGAGAAGCGGTGCGTGCGTGAGAAAGAGAGAGGCTGTGCGGGTGTGTGTGTGTGCGCGTGTGCGCAAGAGAGGCTATGTGTTTGTGTGCGCGAGAGAGATGCTGCGTGTGTGCGAGTGCGTGTTGCGTGAGAGAGGCGGTGTGTGTATCTGTGTGTGTGTGTGTGTGTGAGAGAAAGGCTGTGCGTGCGTGTGCAAGGCTGTCTGTGTGTGTGAGCGGCTGTGTGTGAGTGAGTGTGCGTGCATGCGTGTGCATGCGTGTGTGTGCGTGTGCGCGTGTGTGTGTGTATAATGATTCTCACGCTTGATCCAGCGGGACACACTTAAGTGTATTTTGTGGGGGAAGCACGAAGGCCAACTTATGTACAACTTACACGGCAACATCTCACAAACAGCCGTGGAGTGAATGACACGATTGTATTTGGGGGATTTTGGCCACGACACAGCGGGAGGGTGGGGGGTTGGGGGGGGGAGAGAGAGAGAGAAACTTCCTTCTCTTCTCTTTGACATCCACCTGAACAGATGGGAGTTGTGTTGAACGTCTCACTTGAAGCCTGGTGTTGCCCCCCACCCTCCGAGGGTCTCTCTCTCTCTCTCTCTCTCTCTCGCTCGTGTCTCCGAGAGGCGCTCGTGTTGTATCGATGATTAAACCTTTGTCTCTTTCTCTCTCTCTCTTTCTCCCCTTGAGATGCCCGGGATAGCTGCTGTTTGCTGCGCTTCTGTGGGGCTTTGCTGGACTGTGGACCAGAGGCTTCACCTGTTGCTTTTCGCTCTACTAATGCACGTCTTTCTCTTTTCTCTCTCTTCCCCCACCCCTCCCTTCGTCTCCTCCTTTCCCCCCCATCCTTCCTCACCTCCTCCACTTTCCTTTCTCCCCACACCCCGCTTTCCTTTCTTGCTCCCCCCCCCACTTTCCTTTCTGCTCCCCCACTTTCCTTTCTGCTCCCCACTTTCCTTTCTGCCCCCCCACTTTCCTTTCTGCTCCCCACTTTCGTTTCTGCCCCCCCACTTTCCTTTCTGCCCCCCCACTTTCCTTTCTGCTCCCCCACTTTCGTTTCTGCCCCCCCACTTTCCTTTCTGCCCCCCACTTTCCTTTCTGCTCCCCCACTTTCGTTTCTGCTCCCCCACTTTCCTTTCTGCCCCCACATTCCTTTCTGCCCCCCACCACTTTCCTTTCTCCCCCCTTTCCATCGCCCCCCCTCCCATCCTTCTGCCCCCCACCCACCCCCAACACCCTGCCCCCCCTCCCACCGCTGCTTGCCCACTGGCTGGTGCAGTAATGGAGACGGGTAAGATTGCAGGGCTGTTCCGAATCGCGCCTTTGCTTAAAGCAAATGAACTAAAACTCATTTAAAATTTTTCTTCACATCAAAAATCACCTCTTAACGGCGTTTGGCGCCGGGAGTTACCTTTGTGCGCGTGCGTCCGTGCATGTGCGTGTGTAGTGACTGTAGTGGCACTCGCCTGGGTTGAGCTGAGTTGTGTCCGGTTATTAATAATAATTAATACAGTATTAGTATCTCTTACATCTGATACGTGCCTTTCACGCCGGAAGGACGTCTCACAGGATTCACTGCGACGTGTCGTGATTGTGTGTTTTGTAAGTGAAGGCGGGTGATTATTAGGCAAGTTCATGATGTAGTTCCTCTCTCTCCCCCATCCCCACCCTCGCCAGCCCAGGGTCACCGAGCTCATATGTAGCCCCCTTTAGGCCCTGTCTGTCCCTGACGTTGGTCTCCCTGCTCGCGCTGAGACTGAAGTCTCTCTCGTTCCCTTTCAGTCAGTCTATACTCCTCCATCTTCGGGGTGCTGCAGTTGCTGTGCTTGATGACAGCCCCAGTGATCGGGTACATCATGGACTGGAAGCTGAAGGAGTGCGAGGACAACGCTGACCAGAGCGACGAGAAAGAGCAGCCGGGAGCGAGGTAAGCAAGGGGTCAGTGAGCATCCGGGGGGAACTGAGGACACGGTGTCTGTCTGTGACTGGTGCTGTGTGTGTGTGTGTGAGTGTCTCTCTCTGATGCTCTGTGTGTCTTTGACTGACACGCTGTGTGTGTGTGTGTGTGTGTGTGTCTGACGCTGTGTTTCTGTGGCTGTCGCCGTGTATGTCGCTGTCACTGGGTGTGTCAATGACTGATACTCTGTCTGTGACTGTCGCTGTGTGTATGTGTGCGTGTGCGTGTGTGATTGACGCTGTGTGTGTGTGTGTGAGTGACTGTCACTGTGTGTGTGTGTGTGTGTGTGTGTGTGAGTGGCTGACTGTCACTCTGTCTGTCTGTGTTTCAGTCCCAACGGTAAAAAGAGACGAGACCGTAAGATTCAAAAAATCACCAACGCCACCCGAGCTTTCGTCTTCACAAACATCCTCCTGGTGGGATTCGGCATCTTCTGTCTGATCCCCAACTTACCCCTTCAGGTACCCACACAGAGAGGGAGAGAGAGAGAGAGAGAGAGAGCGTGTGTGTGTGTGCGAGAGAGTGCTGTGGTGGGGATGGGGGGAGAGAGCGAGAGATAGAGTGTGTGTGTACGTGAGCGAGAACGTGATTGAGGGGAGAGAGTACGTGACAGAGAGATAGTGACATTGTGAATGGGAGAGAGAGAGAGAGAGAGAAAGAGAGAGAAAGAGCCCGTTGCAGAGGGAGCTCTCTCGCCTCTTGAGTCCGAGGGTTGTGGGTTCAAGCCCCACGTGGGGACTTTGAGCTCACAGCGCAGTGATGGGGGTGGGCGGCTGCTGGGTTTTCGGACGTGCCACCTGTCGGACGAGATGCAAACCGAGGTCCCGTCTGCCTGTTTAGGTGGACATTAAAGATCCCGACCAACAACTGCCCCCGCCCCCCCACCCCCCCACCCCCAAACGCCCCCGTTCACATCACGGCTGTTTGTGGGACGTTGCTGTGCGTCGTTTGTGGTGCCGCGTTCCCCCCCCCCCCCCCCCACAACACTGTTATTCACGGCCATTACCTACGAAGCATTAATCAGCAAGTAGCCAGCTCTATAATAATAATAATAATAATAATACTGTTATTATTACTGCTGCTCTTCCAGGGGCTGAATTGCTCCTCCTGTTCCCGGTTGAATTCCCAGGAGATTCGCGCTCGCACCCCCCCCCCCAACATCTGTTCTGCAGCGACGCTTGCTGGCGTGTCCGTGAACTGCAGGTGTTTTCGTGGCGTTTTAATTCCCCTCCCCACCCCTCGCCCACTCGCCCTCCTTTAGGTATTCCTGTAAACCCCTCGAGCTGATAGAAAACCATCCTAACTAACCCTGGTGCTTGACCCCGGAGCCTTTCACGTCGGGACGAGGTCTGAAAGTGCTTCGCAGGATTTCCTGTCCAGTGTGGTGACCGCGCCTCTGGCAGGCGATTTGCAAAGGGTTAACGGCCCGCAAAACAGGCCGTGGAGCGAGTGATTGATTTTAATTTCGGTTCAGTAAAAGGGGGTATTTATTGTCGGTCACGTCCTCCCCGGGAGAGCAAGATAGAGAGAGAGAGAGAGAGAGAGAGAGGCGACAACCTGACCTGATTTCTTTCATTGCAGATCATGTCCTTCATCCTGCACACCATTGTCCGAGGTTTTATCCACTCCGCAGTCGGGGGGCTTTACGCTGCCGTGTAAGTGTCGGGCACACCGATTCAGCTGCGTGTTAGCAAATAGCCTGTAAAGGACCACTCCACGCCCTCCTCCGTTGACTCTCTCTCCTTTTCCTCCCCCACCCCCCTCCTTCCACCGAGCGAGCAGGGGGGGGGGTGGGATGGGGAGTGGGGAGGGAGGCTTCGCGGTGACGCTGAACGAGGGGAGGGGTTGCTGAGCTCCACAGTGACACTGTGTGTGTGTGCGTGTGTTGCAGGTACCCCTCCACGCAGTTCGGCAGCCTGACGGGGATGCAGTCGCTCATCAGCGCCCTGTTCGCCCTCCTCCAGCAGCCGCTGTTCCTGGCCATGATGGGCCCCCTGGAGGGAGACCCTCTATGGGTAAGTGAGGGATCAACCTCCTATACCACACCCTTAATCCTAACCCTAACCTGAGCCCAACAACCAGGGAGCGCTGGGTTCCCCAAGCCTTGGCTCTTGGCAACCTACACGTAATACTTTCCGGGATTAGGACATCCCACTCGGCCCCTGTTAACCCTGCAAGCCACAACCCTAACGGGTAGGGTGGGGGGGGGTCCCAGCTGAACAAGCAGCGGGAAAGCTTGGCCAGACAGCGCTCCCAAGGGCAAGCTGTGTGGTTTTAGCTGGTTAGACTCCAGCAGTTAACCCCCACGCACACTCTGGGCTCCCTCCAAGCCTTGGCTCCTGCCAACCTGCGCCTCATGCTTTCCGGAATTCGGTTAAGCGGGATGTGTCCCTCCAGGGAGACAGAGAGAGAGAGAGAGAGAGAGAGAGCGCATTCCATTCCCGCAGCCTATCTCTGGGATTTCCATGGGTTTATGCACGCGTCAGACACCCGGCTGGCCTGGGGTGAAAAAAAATTAATGGGTTTGAGTGTGTCTCGGACACCGTGTGTCTGATGCGTGTGTTCTGTCTCCCTGTGTGCGTGTGTGTGTGTGTGTGTGTGTGCGTGGGCAGGTTAATGTGGGGCTGCTGGGGGTCAGCATGATGGGCTTCTGTCTGCCCATATACCTACTGCTGTATCGGCACCAGCTGTACAAGGAGAAGGAGAGGAAGACCGAGGACGCCAAGCTCTTCATGAAGATCAACGGCAGCTCCAAGCACGAGGCCTTTGTGTAGAGCTGGAGCCCCGCGACCCAGCGAGACAGGACTCTCTACAGCCCTCCCTCACACAGGCCCCGCACACTCACACTCACGCTCACACTCACACCGACATCAACAGCACTCCACCCCTTCAATGTCACTTGGCTTTGAAGGAGGCAGCACTGGGGGTTGATGCTGAGTGTGGGGTGAGTTGGGGTTAGGGGAGGAGATCATACCGTTAATATTGCAAACTAACACACGTCGTTTCCAGTCTACCGCCCTCCCAAACCTCTCCTGTTAAATGGTGGCTGTCTGGAATCGAGTGGTGCTTTCCCCCCCCCCGCCCCATGCCCCCCTCCCCCCTCCCCTATCGCTTTTGCATCCGCCTTTATACTAAAACCAAATGAGGCTTCGTTTTATCGAGGTATCAGGGTCAGCTCACAGGCATCTAATTTTCTCAGTGAGAAATGACTGACTGACTGACTGGGGTCCTGATATTTGTGTTAAATCCACCTGGAGTCTTGCCCCCCGTCCTCTTTGCACCCCACCCCCCCCTCCCCACCCACCCCACCCTCCAATCCCAAGGCTGATATGAACCAGCCATTGGGGATCAGATTATAACTATTTTTAGACTAATCAATTAGGGTTTTTTTTTTTCGGTTCAGTACGTTTTTTGGACATTAACCAAGCAGGCAAAGTAGCCGAAGAGCCAACGCAGTTCAGGGATGGAGAGGGAGGTGTTGTGAGACTGCGGGTTCAGCTGCCTCCAGTGGGGACTGAGCCAACCATGTTCCTGGCCCTCGCTTCCCCCCGGGCCGAGCGCACCACAGACGGGAAAGGCTGGGAATCCTGTGTGGGCTGTGGGAATGCCGATGAACACTGCCCTGACTCTACCATTCACCCTACTCCTCCAGAAACCTGTGTGACTTTCCCCAAGCAGCGGAGGTTACTGTGGCCCCGCGCTCGGTGGTAGACTTCGAAAACTTGTGGTGGGACCAAGGTTTGCCCACCAGAACCCCACCCCCCCCCCCCCCACTCCCCGCGCCCCCACCCCCAATCCCAACCCAACAGCGAGGGACAGTTTCAAGGCAATATAAGCCGCACTCCAACCCAGTCCGCTTGCATCCGTGCATTATGTCTGAGATAGAGCAATAAATTCAAGCCTTACATCGGAGGGGAGCAGGAGACAACAACTGATTACATTTGTGTAGCACCTTCCACATCAGAAGACAATCACTGACTGCATGCGGGAGGCACCAAAGAGCTGTTGAGGCAGCCCCCAGGTCGAGGCAGGTCAGGATAGACCAGACCGGGGTTCCTTGTGCTTTTCTGATTTAAAGATGCCAGGTTCTTGTCTATATCTGCAACGTCAACACATTAATTTCAGAGAGAGGGTGGGGAGTGGGGGGTTACGGAGGAAATCCCCACACTCTGCTCTGGGGGAAGCGTCCCCTCCGGACACAGAAAGAGAACTTGCGGCTCGGGTGGGGGAAATGTTTCTTTAAAACAGAAGCTTTTATTTGAAGAGACGGTATAGGCGCCTGGCGCAGTGTGGGTGCTGGGTGTGATGCCTGCTGAGCCCCAGTGTTAGGATCCGCGCCCTGACATTAAAGGTGTTGGTGACTGTGTATTAAAAGGCGAGATGTCACTGCATTTACTGCAAGGCGAGGTATTAAAGGTGGGGTTAAGGATCACTCTATTTCTCGCTCGTTCCTTCCTGTCTGTAGGCGAGCCCGTGTGACGGCAGAGCGCGCTAACCTCTAAATATTTTCACCGTTTTAACTTCTTTGGAGGAAATTCACTGGTTGCTACCAGATAGAGGCGGCTGATGAGCCCACCCTGAACGTCGTAGTGTCTGTAGTGAATCCCCTCACTGTGTGCACTGCCCTGTGTGAATGTCAGACACCGTACTGGGGGATATAACTATTATCCTGGTGTGTAAAGCACATACCGCTCTGTACATAATTCACGTTCCATGCTGTGTATATATAACCCCGCAGTTCCCCCTCCCCATTGATGAACCAAGCACTGCCTTTTATAAACCCCCTACCCACACACGCACATAGTACTGTACAGCATTCTCACTGCCTGCACCCCATTGACTGCAAGGGCTGTGAATTTTAATCCAGTATTTCATACACTACTTAACGGGTTAGTGAGTGTTTGTCACGAGGGGAGGGAGGGAGGGAGGGAGTGGGGGGGGAAATCACTCATCCTCTGTCAGGGACAGTGCGTAACTACAATGCTGCAAGTAGTGCGGTCACCCAGAGGCCCACGAGCAGAATGTTGTGAGCCAAAAAATGGTTGAGCTGTTTCGGAAATACTTATCCAGATCCTTGGCTCAAATTGAGCCGGGACACACCGGGACAGTATTAAATTTGGGAATCGGGAATTTTCGATTTGGGAATGGTGCTGGGTGAGTGAGATAATACTTATAATAATAATACTTACATCGGCTAGAGCACCTTATCCCATCGTCTCAAAGCGCTTCACAGGTTTTACTGTAAAGTGGAGTGACTGTGTCTTTGTAGGCAAACGCAGCAGCCAATTTGCACACAGCAGTGTCCCACTAAACAGCCATGGAGTGAGTGACCAATTTTATTCGGGGGATTGTTGGCCAGGGACACCAGGAGAGAGAAACTCCCTTCTCTTTTTGAATCGTGCCATAGTGGGATCTTTAACGTCCACCTGGACAGACACAGAGGGGACCTCGGTTTATCATCTCCTGCAAAAGCCTGTATTCCTGTAGGGAGAGAGACCTCTTGCCCGTTAGGTGATCGTTGGCCCCTCTCATTCTCTCTGTCCCCCTCCCTTGCTTATCCCCCCCCACCACACGCACGCACGCACACACATACACACACAGAAACCTCAAAGCATGGTGTGTTTGTGTGTCCCCTTTAATTCAAACACTCTGCAGATATTTAACCAAAAAGTCAATCCCCTATCGATCAGCACTGGCGGTGCCAGGTGCCTGGGTGGCACACATGCCGCTACCCCCTCCCCTCTCCCTCCTCCTCCCCCACTACCCACCCCCCTCCGTTCCCCCCTGGGTTTACCGCGTAGCGTCTCCCCCGCACCTTGTAGCGATGGCAATAAAATGATCGCAGGCCGGAGCATGTGGACGCCACTTTCTAACGGTAACGTTCTGACGGCTGGAAGCCATCTCGAGGCTGACGGTCTTGCCCACGCACGCACGCACGTTCTCCCGGAAGAGCCTTTTCTTTTTCAGACAATGCAAAAGATCTTTGGGGGTTGGTTCAGTTTTATTGTTATCTTTCCTCTGCGTTTGATTCCAAAAAAGTTCCGGTACACAGCCTTGAGAGGCCGCAGCCTTGAGAGATGATTTCTCCGCTTTCACGTTTGTTAGTCTGTGTATATAATATATTATATATATGTATGTATATGAATATGTATACAGGATATATTCTGCTCCGTCTGTCTTTTTGTGTCTTTACAGATTATTATACACGATTAATTCTGATTGACAAATTAAACTAATCTGTCCTTCACGTCGATTCCTTGTACTTTGTGTGAAAGAATGACACCTGGAAGCTGTTCATTGTGAATCCTGATGGGGCAACAAACTGGTGTCGGGAATGTGTCTGTACTGGATCTCGCCACAAAGGGGCAATACTATCGCGTCTTAAACGAGCAGATTCAGCTTTTGAGCCACCAATGACCTGCAGGAGATATCCGACTCAGCTCCAGATGGACTGTGGAGTAATTCAGAGCGTCCGCCGAGAACCTGGCAAATAATTAAATAACAATCCTTCAAATTTGATAACTCTGACATTTCGAACTCCGTTCTGAAATCAGCTTTCAGGACAAGAACCGCAGAAAGCTGATTTCAAAGTTAACAGTGAATTCAACGGTTTGCCAAATTCTGGGTCCTCTGAAATGCTCTCTAAATAAAGAGTAAAACCAGACCAATCTGAGAGCAGGTGTCATTTTGGTTAGCTTTCCCATCCAAACAGCCCCCCGGCCACACAGACTGTTCTGTGACTGCTCTGAAGCGCTTTTAATTGTTTTAAGCGCCCTGAGACACTACCCTGCGCGGAGAGCGCTATATAAGTTCAAGTTGTTGTTCTCCCAATGTGAAAGGCACTGGGCAATTGGTTATTGTATTGGACAGGTCATGCTGGATTCAGAAACAATCTCAGGAATGGTGTAAAAACCATCTGAACTTCACTCTTGTTAATCTTTACCCTTGACGAAACTCTCAACCAGACTGCACCCGTGTGACTCAGTACCAAGGTCTCCTCCGCCCAACTGTAACCTACAACCAACCATGGCAGGCCACCTGCTTCAGCAACAGCCAAACCAGTGAGCCAAGCCCTCACCTGATCTGCACAAACCAGGAAGCGCCAGGTCATCTGATCTGCGTTGGGGCTTCGGTAACAGTGAAGGAAATGAACACGGCCTCACCCTCTCTCCCTCCCCCACGTACCCATATGGCCTCTTGCATAGACCGGAGTTGCAGGGCTCGGTTTGCGACCCGCCGATACCTGCACGACTTGCAGCGCCTTTAGCGAATCTCGCACACGCCTGCCCGCCGAGGGCCATGGGGCGGGCCGGCGCCCGCCGAGCGAAGGAGGGGAAGGGTCACGTGCCGCAAATCCCGTGAAGAACGCTTTGCGGCGCGCCTGGGCGAGGCTGCCCGGACGAAGGGCGCGACCCAAGTGCTAAGAGACCGGGGCCAATCCTTGCATGTGATGCCGCGCCTTATCAGGCCGTCGAGACGTCTCAAAGCGCTTCACGGGATATACCGTAAAGTGTAGTGACTGTGCGTCTGGCGCTCCTATTGATCCTATCGGTTGACTTAAACGATAGACAAAAATCCTTGCCTTTGACAGATGGAGGTCGACCGGCATTGAACGCGAGCTCTTAACCCTTAGGTGCTGTGTCTTATCAAATCCAGTGATTATTATTATTATTATTATTATTATGATTATTATTATTATTATTCCCTGTGATGAATGGAAAGCTCATTTGCATATTCCTGCCGACGTCATCGACGTCCGATGAATAATTCATGAGCTGGCGTGACGTCGGGACGTCGACCACGCCCACCCCAACCCACCCCACCCCCAGTCGATTGACGCAATGACGCCGCCGGCCGGCCGGGTGCGTGCCGACGCGCTGGCGTGTGACGCGTGACGCGCGAGCGCGAGCCCAGCCCCGGAGCAGCGGGTGAGTGAAGTGGGTGAGAGGAGCGGCCGCCGGCGGGATGGTGCTCATCAAGGAGTTGTGAGTCCGGCCTCGGCCTTTCCTGCCCTCAGCCTCCCGCCCCCCCTCTCCCCTCCCCTCCCTCCCCCCGCGCGGCCTCTCCTCTCCTCACCGCAACGCCACCCTCTCCCTCTCCCTTCTTTACCCTCCTCCCCCCCCCCTCACCTTCTGTCTCTCTCCTTCCTCCTCTCCCTCTTCCTCCTCCTCCTCCTCACCCTCTTCCTCCTCTTCCTCTCCCTCTTCCTCCTCTCCCTCTTCCTCCTCCTCCTCACCCTCTTCCTCCTCTTCCTCACCCTCTTCCTCCTCCTCCTCACCCTCTTCCTCCTCTTCCTCACCCTCTTCCTCCTCACCCTCTTCCTCCTCTTCCTCACCCTCTTCCTCCTCTCCCTCTTCCTCCTCTTCCTCCTCACCCTCTTCCTCCTCACCCTCTTCCTCCTCCTCCTCACCCTCTTCCTCCTCTTCCTCCTCACCCTCGTCCTCCTCCTCACCTTCTTCTTCCTGCTCCTCACCCTCTTCCTCCTCCTCCTCACCCTCTTCCTCCTCTTCCTCACCCTCTTCCTCCCACTCCTCACCTTCTCCTTCTTCCTGCTCCTCACCTGTCTCTCCCTCCTCCTCACCCTCTTCCTCCTCCTCACCTCCTGTCTCCCTCTTCCTCACCCTCTTCCTCCTCCTCACCTCCTGTCCCCCTCCTCCTCACCCTCTCCCTCCTCCTCACCCTCTCCCTCCTCCTCACCCTCTCCCTCCTCATCCTCTCCCTCCTCCTCACCCTCTTCCTTCTCCTCATCCTCTCCCTCCTCCTCACCCCTTTCTTCTCCTCACCCTCTCCCTCCTCCTCACCCCTTTCTTCTCCTCACCCTCTCCCTCCTCCTCACCCTCTTCCTTCTCCTCACCCTCTCCCTCCTCCTCACCCCCTTCCTTCTCCTCACCCTCTCCCTCCTCCTTACCCTCTTCCTTCTCCTCACTCTCTTCCTCCTCTCCCTCTTCCTGCTCCTCACTTTCTGTCTTTCCCTCCTCACCCTCTCCCTCCTCACCCAGAGCCCCAGGATGTCTCTTTCCCTCTGCCTGCTCTCTCCTCTGCCCAGTCCCCAACCCTTGCCTCACATGCCTGCCCCCCACTCCCTCTGCATCTGCTTATTGAGGATCAGAGCATCCTTGAAGCGTTGAAGCCCTCTCCTCTACAATACTCTGACATTTCCTGCGCTGACTCCCTGGCAGGCAAACCTGACTCTGGCATTGGGATCCTGTCTATTAATAATTCCAGAACAGAGGGAGAGAAAGGATCTTTCAAATTTCTCTGGGTAGCTTAAGGGTCAGCTGTATGTGAGTGCTGAAAGCATTGTGAATCTACTATCTTATTGTTCATCTTATTATGGTTAAATACAGCATCCGTTAAACACTTATAGATCTTTGAAATATTATTTAAAAATTCAGCTGAGTTAACTAGTTGCAATCTTCTTAACTTGTTCAGTTCCTCTTCTCTATCCCCTATCCCTCCCTCCGGAGAGTAGGTTTCCAGTGCCTTGGGACATCTTCCCAACGTGAAAGGTGTTGTATGAATGCAAGTTGTTGTTGTTTCTGAAAGCCTAAAGGACCCTGGGCACTCCAGGGTTGCTCTGTGTCTTGAGTACCCCTCACAAAATGGTTGGTGGGATTATTTCGGATGTCGGCTTGTGATTTTTAAATTTGTCTTTGTTGTGGTAAAAGAATTACAGTTTTGTGACGTGTTAAGCTAAGATAATGTTTGAGAAACTGAAAGCCACAGCTGATCTTATTGCTGAAGTTCCCTTCGAGTTCCACTCCAGCACTTTTTGTAAAAAAAAGTTAACTTGCATATATCTACCATAATATCTGAGAGAGCCTTCTGTTTAATGATGAATCATTTAGTTACTATACTGCCTCAGGTAGATATAGTTAAGTCCATTTTTGAGGTTACTACAGCAGTGTTGTGATGCAGTATGAGTGAAGGAGCCAGACAGATGTATTACTTTGTACAATGTGGGTGCAAAATGGTTGTGCGGGTTGGCAAGCGCTCCAGGACGCTGCCCTGAGGGAAGGGTGCTATATAAATGCATGTTGTTGTTGTAGGTGTAATTGACACATCTCTTGTATTGGCTGAAACGTTTTGTAAATGCGTACATGTCAGGCTCTCAATTGTTCCTAACCTTGCTTCAGAACTGATTAGACAGTGCCTCTTATTAACCAGCACGTGTGAATCACCTGACAATCTTGATCTAGAGGTACTGCATTATAGTGAGTCAGACAGTTTGCTTCGTCAAACATACACACATTCACAGTAGCACATTTATTTGTCATGAGCATTGACTGTCCCCTCCCAGTCTCTGTTCATACGTCATACGTTGATGCTCTGAGCTTATGCCTCAGTAGCCCAGTCTTGTTCCCGAAAAAGGTTGTTCAGCCTCAACGAGATGTCGGACACAAATTCATGGGTTGTGAAGGGCAAGTTAAGTGTTTAGGAAACCAGAAAGTGTTTCGGTTACTGAGCAGCTGGAAGGGGTTACCAGGGCGAGTGGCTGAAACAGGGTCATCGGCTGCATTTAAAAAAACGTCTTGTCGCTGTGGTGGGAAGGTGGCAGGGTTTGTGTTCTGCAACGGTGAGATGAAGTAGTCTGAATGACCTTCATCCGAAGTGCTCTTGTGATTGTGAAGTGCAACCCCCGGTGAATCGTGAATTAATTTTGTAGTAATGACCTCCCAGCAGTGCTTAAGAATCTTCATTGAATGCAATTTGTGCTGCTTTTAGCTACTTGGGGCTTTGGGCTTTGCATTTGCTTTGGCGATTTATTTTGATTGAAAAATCGAGGGAAGGGCAGAGACTACAGTACTGGATACCTAGTTTGTGGGGGGAAAAAAGACTAGGAGAGAGGATCGACATATAATAGTAAGGTGAGACCGGGTTTTGGTTTTCAGGTGTCCAAATTCCACCTAATCTTATTCTGTGAAACCATTTTGTCCTCACATTTAAGGTTGTGCCGAATTGCAGAGAATTCCTAAATCTGCTATTCTTTGGATGGAAGCTGGTTGTGTTTTTTTAAGAACAGCAGAAAACTGGCTTCCGTCTTAAGACTCGATTGAAGAATCGTTGCAGAATTCTAACAATAATAATAATAATAATAATAATAATTCTGCACCAGTCTTACATTTTAAGACAAAATGAACTCGCAGGAGGATGGAGGGAGGGCAGCATCTCTCCAAGCCTTGGGTCCTGCGAAAGTGCGAGCTCATCAAGTGCGAGAGGGTGCAGTTGTCTCGATTTCAACCCACTGCGGATGGATGCCGGAAGGGAATGTTAAACAATGGATGGAGAGCTTGGGAGGGAGGAACTGGAGCGGAAAGTTCAAAGGATTAATTACCATTGTATCGATAAAGTAAAGAGCCCACGGTTGAGACACACAGCAGAAGGTTGGAGACTTAAGTTAGCACTGTCGTCTATCAGACAGCAAGGCCTGGCCCAGGAATATCAGAGAGCTGGTGCAGTATTCACATCTTAATGAGCATCAACTTTAAGGAGTAATTGAAGGAAAAGGGTTTGACACAAAAGAGGAATATCAGGTTTTTTTTAGAGTGAGTAAGGCTCTAACAAGGGGTGTCTAACTTTTTATTTGGCTAGCGCATCAATTATTTCAGATCCCTCCATTTTAAACTTCAGCCTTTGCTGTCCTTTGGTCGATAACATAACGCCCGTCACCGAAACCTTGGAAATTCAGCACAGTGCGAGATGCTGAGTGTTCAGTATGGGTTCGTTCCTAAATATTCTCTCCCAACCCGATTCGACTTGTCTAATTCACTCCTCACGAGTCTACCCTACTTCCACCATCCACAAGCACGTCCTCAGTCATGCATCTCAATCCTCGTCAGGCTCCACGTCTCCTCAGTGGGTCAAAGACTCCCTTTCACAGCCTAGCGCCTTCCCACCTATGTGATCTTCACTCCTATGCTGTTCCTCTTGGGCCTTAAGCAATTATGCCCCCATCCTTTAGAACTCCCTCTGTCTCTTCCCCAAACTATCTGTCTTTAAATCCCATCTAAAAACACGTCTCTTCAGCTGGGCTTAGTTGGCACCTTCTGCTCTAGTGTTTGATGTCCTGTACGGAAGCCATGATGTGGTTTGAGATACAATCCTAATTGAAGGGTGCAATATAAATGCAATTTGTTGGAATTAAAGGGGCACTGCCTCATGTAAAACCATTAGAAATATCAGAGCATCATATAATTTTTGTCGACCATGTTTACAAAGAGCTGGAACAACTACAATGAAATGCTCATGCCGTAAATCTTTTTTTCCTACTTCTATCTTTCCTTTGGTCCTCCTGGATCCAAGTATTAGATGGAGGCACGTACTCCTAGTTAGCACATATTGCACATACTGTGTGGAGGGGCGTAGCCTGAGAAAATCACTTTGACTTCCATTTACATTTATATATCACCCTTCATGAAACATAACGCCTCCAACACTCCCCACTCCCCCCATATGGCAGTGTGACTAAGCCTGCTGATTCAGCAGAGGTGGAGTCCTGTTTGTTCAGTGGTTAGAGCACTCAAAAGCAAGAGATAGAGAGCTGGGTTTGATTCTTTGGAGGCATTTGAAGGTGAGGGAAGTTGATCCAATAGAAGGTAGTGGAACTGAGAATGGATGGAGTTGATGGGATCACAGAGCCTATTTGGCGGTAAGGTGTGGTAGTGGTGGGCAATATTGCAGAAATGGAGGAAATCTGACTTGGTCAGAGCCTGGATGAAAGGTTTGAAGGAGAGTTGAGGGTCAAATAAAACGTTGAGGTTCCGCACAGGCTGTGATTTGGAGTGAGCGAGCAGCTGGTGAGGTTGAAATGGTCAGCGCATGAAGTGGCAAGGTACTGACAAGCCGAGCAGGAGAGCCTGACTCAGTGTTGCTCATGTTGAGTTTGAGAAAGTTGCGGCTTATCGAGGACTTGTTGCCTGATACACCGTTTGTCGTAATAGCAGAGTCCTGGAGGCCAGGGTGACATCCATGACCCAGGTGTGGAGGTGGACCATGTGACTGGATGATAATAAGTAATAGTCCTCACATTTGATTTAGGGCCTTTCAGATAGACGTGAAACCAGGAAGGAGCGTGGACCAGGGAAGAGACTAGACCGTTCAGAAATTAGACTGATCTGTTTATTTATTAATTAGTCTCTGATTGTAGGGGCCAGACTGGCACTGACAGATCCTCATAGTTATCCCTTCACAATTGATGTCAGAGGACTTTTTAACTATGGGCCGAATGCTGTTTGAGCTTGATCATCGACAGCGAGTATCCACAGGAGGTGGATAGAGTCAGAATACTCTCTCCTTGGTCGAGGGGTGCCCAGGACACATACCCACCTTTCTCCACATCTGATCATTACAGGCACTGACTGCATTGTGATGGGTAGCAAATTCCTATTATCCAGGTTATTCGCTCCATCCCATGATACCTCCACACAAAGGAGTTATCTTAACTCCACTCACAAAAGCATTGTTACTTTCACACACACACATCTGTTCAGAATGAAAACTAGACCATGGATTGCAGAACACCTCTCTGTTTGTAGGAGTAGGAAGGAAGGTTCATTTTACACGGTAAACTCCTGATAACTCATCACTCCAGGGGAGAAAGTTTCAGGGACGAGTTATCCAGAGCGGCGAGTTAGGCCTATGTATAAATATATCAATAAAAATGCAGCCGGATATTGACAGCATGATGACTTAAGTGGTAGTGACAAGTTAAGCCAGGGTCGAGTTAGCAGGCGTTTCCTCTCCCATTATCTAAGTATCGTCTCCCATTACAATACTAACCACATGCATCACAAAGCTCTGGTAAATTACACTTGTCCTGGATCTCACCAGGATCACGTAGGCGTCGTGCACATGCGGAACTGTGTTTGGTTTGGGGTCATCTTTGGCACAGTGATGGGTTAAGCAGAGTACATTTCAGAGTCACCGCTGACCAAAAAAAAACTTTTTCCCCTTTACTCTTCACGGCCTTCATGTGACGTGGCTTGGAATGCTATTGTTCTGAGTACAGGTCCTCTAACTTGGCACTTGCCTGGTTCAAGCCCAACAGCACACAATATTCAATCCTTTTACAAAGTTGCTTTGGTACTGCACGCTCTTCATAAGGCCAAGACTCGCTCTTCTCTTCCCCACCGCACCCCCCCCCCCCCCCCCAGCCTTCCCTTCCTGAACAAAGCAGCCTGTAACCCAGGTGACTTCTGGATCAGCACTGCAGTGTCATTGAATGTCCTCGTCAGTGTAGTGAGGAGAGATGGGTGGCTGAGACTTTTAAGATTAATAAAAACCCTCCCAGGGGTTGGAGCAGCTGGAGGACTGACAGGGACGGGAGGAGAACGAACCTGAAGTCTTTTCTCCTCCCTCCCATCCCGCTCAGGCCTCCAGCTGCCGCAACCTCGGGACAGATGGGAGCAGATTAAAGGAATGAGTTGAAGGTTTGCGCGATGGCTGTAATGTACAGGAAATGTTGCTGTCTGGGCGAGTCCCCCAGCAATCTTTACTTTCTATCTTAAATAATCCCCGGTAACCGACAAGTCACGTTAGCTTGTTGCCTGGAGCTGGCCCGTCTTATCATTTAATTGTTCTGCTTATGTAATTGCAATGTTTAGGCGGCATATGTATATGTAATATGTATATGTAACTCTGTCTTAAGCACGGTGACAGGTTTCCGTGCGTGTGTCAGACACTGGGACGGCACGCAGGCTAGGTATGTACGCTCAGATGCATCGTGGAGGCCTCCGGTCTATTGGAAAGCCAAGCCGTGTCCTCCTAGCCTACCCTTTCGCAGAGGCCTTTGAATTTTTATCTGATTATATATCCTGCGTGAAGGGGGTTTGAGGGGGTGCGCGGGCTATATACGTGCAAGTTATTGTTGTCTATTGGAGATGGGAGGGATCTGTGACAGGATAAGGCAGGTGGCCATGGGAGGCCCTCCAATAGACCATCGGTCTCCGCGATCCATCTGAGCACGTGCGCCCAATCTCCATCGAGCACCCGCACCAGTCACAGGATAGGGCAAGAGGCCTCCGAGAGGCAAGGCACCATCTTATATGTCGAGTTATCCAATCAGTTTTTCATTGGATTTGCAAGAATTTCTAGAATGCAACGAGTTGTGTGTTAAGCAGAGTGCCGAGTGAAGCGGAGACCCCCCTAATATGTGGTAGTGACAAGTTAAGCCAGGGTCGAGTTATCAGGAGTTTACTGTGCAAGAAAGAGGCTTGAAGGGGTTTGGGGAGAGGGCAGGGATGGAAAATACAGCTGAGAGTCGCTGCAGATTTGCCGAATGGCCGTCTCCTGTGCTGTACATTTCTATGTTTCTGTCAGGGGCTGCAGATTTGTAACTTGCTTATTTTCTCTCTCTCTCTCTCTCTCTTACAGTCGTGTCCTTCTGCCGATCTCTGTGGAGGAGGTGAGTGATGCCGCTTCCCTTGTGGTTTGTTGTTTGACTGGAGGGTGATGACTTCATCAATAGGCTTCTTGTCTGCAGCCGGTTCTGCTGAGTAAGTGTGTGTGTGTGTGTGCGCGCGTGAGTGTATATGTGTGGAAATGTTCTACAGTGTGGTTCCTGCAACTCAACCAGAGCTGCTCAACCACACACGCACAGGGAATGTACGTTCGAAGTCTGCGACAGTTCAACTATTTTATAAATAGATTTACACTTGACCAAAGTGTGTGTCGTACATCTTTAATCTACAACTGCTGGTTACAGTGTGCCCAGGAACAGCCATTATTACACACACGTTTTCTGTACTGGGGGGAAGCACTTGTCGTCGGATCTGAGACGTCCATCTGTGGTTGTAGACGCCTCTGTGGCGTCCTGGCCATGCTGCAAAGTAACTGGTTATCCATTTAGTCGATGGCTGTGGGTTTAGGTGCAGATAAGATGTTGGGTTTGTCTGCGTGGAAACAGTCCCTGCAGTTCAAAAGTTGTGTGAAGTGCTCAGTTGGTTTGAGAGGGTCAGGAGTCAGTCAATTGCCATTGTTATTGCCAGGCTTCCCTTTCTTGGGCTCCAGCGCAGACTCCCATTTCTGTTCCTGGGTTCTATGTTCTGTAGGGTGGTTCCTATGTTCAGATGTCCTACAGCATGGTGGGGGTTGGTCTCTCGTCAACATCTAAAACCGAAGAACATAAGAATTTGTGGCAAAAGAAGACCAAGGTCCGTCTAGTTCACCTTCCACCATCCTGCAGTCCCTCTGACATGTTATGTCTAGGGCATGTCACTTGATAAGCGCTCTGGGACGCTATCCTGCGAGGGGGGGGCTATATAATTGCAAGTTGTTGTTGTCTGAAACTATATACTGTATCCACCTTCAGAAGCTCTTATGTAAACCTGCGGTGAGGAAGTGGAAACGTTACTCTTGTCTCTAACCCATGCTGTGACTGTCCTGGGAGCACTGGATGGATAGTGCAGACGAGCTTTACTCTGTGTCTAACCTGTATCTGCTGCTTCATACATTCCCAATGAAATGACCTAGGAATGTTTGGAAGCTGACATTTAATTGTGCAAACAGAAAGTCCTTGAGGAGGTTGGGACTGTGCCTGTTGGCAAGTGGTACGCTGGTGGAGTATGTGTTTGCTAAAGAGGCCTTTGTGCTAACACTAGATGGAAAATATCCACCAGACCAGACCGCAGTGTGTGTGGGGGGAGAGGAGAAGCAAGGCAGTATTCTCTCGAGCTCCTGACCGTGTGGAGCAGGGAGAGAAAGGAAACCCTGTCTATTTTACTGAACCAAATACTTGGAAGACAATTAAAGGCCGTAATCGGATGCTGGGCTTATCTGATTGGATTACTGCCTTGTGATTCTTTTCCAGGCATCTCATTCCTCCTGTGTTGGAATCTATATCAGACTGTTGTATTTTCTTCGCTGTGGACTGACCACGAGAGACTTGTCGGATATACCCTCGAATGGATTCTATTAAAATCCACGTGGGTATTGTTAGGGTAAAGGAAGTGCTGAGCGCGTGTTCTGCTTCTCCTGCTTGTCCTTTGTTTGTTTCCATTGTAAAATAAAAATAAGTTAATGCTTACATTTGATACACTGTCCTTCACATCAGGGGGAACATCTCAAAGGCACTTCACGGGATATGCTGTAAAGTTTAGTAACTGTGGTACTTTGACCATGCTTTATATATCTTTCACCTCCCAAACCCCATCTCAGCAGCTGAGCCTGCATTGTTAAGCACTTGGGGATGTCCTCATGGCGTGAAAGGCGCTATATGAATGTGAATTTATGTTGTATATTACAGGCGATTTGCTCACAGCAATATGCCTCAAACAGCCAATCTAATGTGAGTGGACTGACTTTGAACTCACAGTGCAGGCTTATACCCCAGTTCAGTGCTAAGGAACATTACATTTTCACAACCGTCGTCCTTTCGATGAACTAGGGTCTCGTCCCTTCTGCCTATTCAGGTCAATGTTAAATGATTTCATGGCACTATTGGAAAAAGATGAGAGTTTCTCCCGGTATTGTGGCCCAATTCATATCAGTCATTCATTTCAGAGCCGGGACCTTGCTGTGTGCAAATCGGCTGCAGAATTTATCTAGAAATACACAGTCTCTCCGCTTTATGGTAAATCCTTTGAAGCGCTTTGACATTTCGACAGCATCATCAGATGCTATAGCAAACACAAGGATTATTATTAACTCAGTGATGACTCCCCCTCCTGCAACCTACTGGGAAAGTTAACTGCATCAATGAGCAGATGGTGATGGGAGCAGAGAGAAGGGGCTACTCTCACGTCGAACAAACAAAATAGACATCTTTTTCAAACCAACTGGGGATTCTGAGCTCTCAGTAAAGTGTGTGTGTTTATTTATATACACAGAATGGAGGTGGAGTCCTGTAGCTCAGTGGTTAGAGCACTCGCTTTGCAAGCAAGAGATCTGAGTTCAATTCCAGGCAGAGGGCGAAACCTCGGGCAAGTTTCCTTACTCCACACAGAGCCTAATAATAATCCCTCCAAAACCAAAAACAATAATAAATTGGTCATTTTCAATCTACGACACTTTGTGGGACATTGCTGTGCGCAATTGGCTGCCGCGTTCGCCCACAAATATACAGTCGATTCACTTGACAGTGTGTTCTGTGAAGCGCTTTGGGACGTCCTCCCAACGTGAAAAGCGCTATATCAAATGCAAGGATTATTATTATTATTAAGTAGCTGATGCTATGTGGGAAGATGCTGAGGCTTCTCTGGTTCATAACTGGGGGGGATGTAGGGTTATTGGGATAACAATGGACGTAGCGATTGGAATCGGCCGTTCAGGTCGAGTCTGGTTCAGATACGTAATGCAAACAGCTCGGGGTTGAATGGCCTACATTTGTGCTGCTGTGAGACTGATATTCTGCAGTTTTGCTCAATGACTCTTAGAGGTCAGACAGAGATTTCACTACTTCTTCTACCGGTGCAGCCTTGACAGCAGCCCAACGGCAGGCAGGTCCACCCCCCCCACACACACACACATGTGTATACACATACACACACACACACCCTGAGGGAATCTTGCATCTGACTTCATTTGGGGAGTGGCAGGGACCAGGTGTTTTCTTTGTGTCGCTGGTTTCTGTTTCCACAGACTGCCCAAGAGATGCATGCAATGTGATGACATCACTGCGCAGTCGGGAACAGACGTTTAGAAAACTGGGCTTCCCAACTCTTTCCAGCATAAGCTGCAGATCGTTCACAACTCTACAACTTATGTCTTCTCCCTCACTCGACTCCGTGAGCCTCTCCCCCTCCCCCCCACCACCACATCCTCACTGGCTCCCCATCCTTCAGAGGATCGAGTTCAAGATCTTCGTCCTCACCTTTAAAGCCCTCCCCAGTCTTGCCCCACCCCTACCTCTGTGACCTATTAAAACTTCACAAACCCACCCGCTCCCTCCACTTGGCAGGCACTGGCCTGCTTCTTGTTCCCTGACCTGTCCACCCCACCATTAGCAGTCGGGTTTTCAGCCTATCTGACCCCACTCTCTGGAGCACCAACCCAGACCCTTCGCCTCACCCATTCCCTCGCCTCCTCCAAAGTCCGTCTGAACACTTCTTTGACCGCACCTTTCATCATCTTCAAGCTCCCAGCTCGGGTGCAAACCCTCAACTGTCCAATGCCTGGGAGGATGTCTCAAAACACTTCTCAAGATATACTGTGAAGTGTATTGTGTGTGTGTGTGTGTTTTGTAGGCATTCGTATGCACAAATAACGGTCTCAACGCTTTACAAAATAGAATTGATTAGTGAATGTTCTAATGGGCAAACCGTCAGCTAATCTCTGATTGCGACGTCCCACACAATGGCTTTGTTGTTAGTTTCATCAGCCGGTGGGGACAATCGTTCATTGTTTATGACCCACACTGGTGCTGTTTCTTTAGTGAGAGGTGTATTTAAGGGGTTTTCACCTTCTTGAAGGAGATGTCACCTCCCTACCTCTCCCACCTACGTACTCCCCAACCCACTACCCGTTGCCTCCGCTCGACTGGCTCTGGTGTCCTGCTTGTCCCTCGTGCCTTCTGTTTTACCATTGGTAGCCGCACTTTCAGCCACTACTCCCCAAAACTCTGGAACACTCTCCCTCTGTCCCTCCTTCCCCATCTTCCTGTTGCGCCTGAATACCTTCCTCCCCCTGGGTCGTTGTCGTGCTCCGTTACTGTCAAGCGCTCTGGAACGCAACCCTGCTTGAGGGGAACTAAATACATGCAAGTTGTTGTTGTCTGGCCTCAACCTACTGGGATCGGGCTGCCCATCAAGCTTGTGTTCCACTCATTTCACCCACAAATACACACGGTATTTTGCAGTACATCCTATGAAGCATTTTAAGACGTCTCAACAATGGGATAAGGCGCAATATCAAAAGCAAGGATTATTATTACAACTCCTTGCCCCCAAAATACTGTTCCATTGAAGGTTATGGGTGTGCCTCTCCCATCAATCCTGACGTGTTTAACGAGCAGCAGCTCTCTGTAATGTTTGTGTACGGTTCCCAAGCAGCCGTTGGCGTGATGATAGCCAGATTCAGGGGCATGAGGCTAGGCATGAAAGCTGGAGTTTACGATCTAAGAACGGGTTCACTTGGTTCGCTCTTGCGGCTAACGGCCCATTTATTTCCTTTGCGTGCAGCCTGGAGGGTTGCTGCTTGCTTTTATTCCCCTTTAAGAACCGCAGCGCTGTTTTCCCTTTTATTACAGTTGTAATTAGTGGCACCATGTGTCGCTGTTGGAACACAACAATTAATGATTAGCAAATTTGAATATGAAAATTTCTCTCCTTTCATTTGTCCCCCAGCCTTGCACATCATTCCCTGACTCTGATCCACTCCCTCCTTTCTTCCTGCAAATGCCATGGACCTAAAGACCTGGGAAACCAGGAATTCCACCTGGTCTGAGTCTGTGACACTTGTTTGCTTGAG